TCGCCTGCTTCTTCGGGTGCGACGAGCTGGTGGACCTTCTGCTCACCGCACGAGCAGCTCGACAGGTTGGCAAGGCTGAGTTGGATCAACTTCTCAACTGCCACGAAACCAACCTGCCAAGTTGCGGTGACCGGTGTTTGGGTGCAGGGAGAAAGAGTGCTGGGTTGTGAGGGAGGTGAGACTTGGAACGCGCCGCCTGGGAAGCCTGCAGGAACCGTGATGCGCACAGGTCAGAAATGTTGGGAATGAGGAGTGAAGGGCAAGTTGTTTTGGCTTGGGGTTGAGTCCATCCACTACGGGAAAGAACAGGGTGTCACCTTCATGTAGGACAGCAGGACAACGATGGCTAACTTATTTGCATTCCCTTTGAAACTAAGAATCTGTGCGTGAAACAGACGCAGTCCTTTTTTGTACCTTGAGCCATGTCGGCCGTCATGATTCGCGAGTGCCCACCCTGCAATTTGCTGCACCTTCACTGGTTCCCAGTTCTCGGGAACTTCAGAGGAGTTCGGAGAACTGACTACGTGTCCGGTCCGAGTTGCCGCCGAGCTCGTTGATGCCAGCTGCCCCACACCATCATCCTCGGTCATCTTGTTGTGCCTCTTGTTCGTCGTCTACTTCTGATCTTCGTCCAAACTCATTGAGGAATCCTTGTACCCCCACCACTGCGCCATCAATGACGTTGCCTGCCGCGGTTGAATGGCACGACAACCTGCGACCATCGGCGGAGATCCGCCCTTCTCGATTTAGAGGAAACTCCTGGTTTCACGGCAACGAATCGCCCATCCAGTGCATGACCAACTCTAACGATCGGCGCCCGTCGCTTCGGGGCCTGTTTGTAGTTCTTGCTGCTAGGGGGCGGCAGCCTCTTCTTCGTCCGCCCTGCCTCCAGTCCTCCAACATGTTGATGTTGACTCCCGGAGGCATATTCCAGGTTTGGCTGAAAGTCACGGTTCTGGCGCAGCACCTGGGGGCCATCCGCAATTGCATGTTTAACACTTGTGAGCAGTTGCAACTTGGAACCACGCGATTGGTAAAACACGAGCCGCGAAAGGCCGGCGATTGGACCGCGAAAGAGCAAGCCGTTTGTGATGAACTCAGACGTTGCGCTCATTTTCACTGCGCGGGGCACAAAAGTTCCCTCTGAATGTTGGTTTCGTTTGCGGAGGCCCAGACAGTGCTTTCCAAATCTGCTTGCTGGCAAGGAGGGGAAGCTACAAACCAAAGTTGTATCGCCGAATTCTGCGATTGGGCCGCGATTGGACGCCGATTCCACCAGTGAGCCGTGCTCATCCGAGCTACGTCGCTTCCTTCCAGTTTCAGGTTTGGATGGAGGAGGACAGCGAAACAGAAATAGACCCTGTAGGATCGTGATTGGTGCAGGCATAGGTTTTGTACAGCCCCCATATGAATCCCAAACCTCCTCCCAGAAATCCTCTGGGCTCATCTCTCGTCTCAAGAACCCTGCGCCCTTGCCCTAAACCATACTGGCTGGCCAAACATGCCCAGTTTTCCATGGAGCGCCCTTGGTGTTCCCGTAGCAAGGACTGTGGTGACCCCCACTGCCCCCCCTGTGAATCTCACGTCCACCAGCAGCAGCCTGGAGACAATGGACCCACTGCTTCGTGCTCAGAACGCAGTGACCTGGCTCCCACACACACGTGGTGTGCAATAGATGGGCTCCTTCTCCGCCTTGAGCCATGTTGAAACCGTCGTGATTCACGAGTCCCCTATGCGCAGAAAGTGTGTACTTTGTATGCGGGTGTGTTCCATTGGCGGCCTACTGGGGCAAAGTGGTCGCTCATGTCAACAAGCTTTAAGCCAACATGGAAGTACTGTGCAGAACCCTGTGGTTCTTCGGGGCTATTTGTGAGGCAAACCTCGAGATCCCCAACGAGCGCGGGCGAACGCCGATTGACCTGGCGAGATCGAAGTCGACGCTGGAGCTCATCCATCATCACCAAACCACGTTCTCCATTTGACGCGGACATTGCTCTCTTGGCATCTTGGCTGTGGCTTTGCATGGACAGATCGTTTTTTTCACATCTTGGCAGACATGCGTTTTGTCTTGGGTCCATTGAAGGCACCGGATATTTTTTTCTTGGGCATGGCCGTGCGATGCATGAAAGTGACATCCTCAACATTCCCCTCTAGCAGGAAAATGGGGGAGGGCGGGGGAGGGGGGGAGTCACTTGAAGGAAGCCCTGTGATGGAATGGTCAGAACGATTCTCCACATGGGTATCACAGAAAGAGTCATTAATTACCCTCTTCAGTGAAGTTCCACATGAAAATGTTCCCCCCGCTATTCGCCGAAGAGCAAAGGAATCAGTTTGGTTTGTTTCTCTTGCCCACAAAAAGGAAAAGATTTTCTGATTTTTCGGACAGTCTCCCGCGTCCACATTGATCACGGATGTTTGGACCGAACCTCGCATCAGCCGCGCTGTGCTGCTTAAGGCTTGGAAAGCGCGACGGATTTCCAGCAGCGATTGGGCTTCCATTTGGCCCACAAATTGAACTTTTAGTCTACTTGGTAGGGTGGTGAACTGAGCAGCCATGTGAGCCAGCAGTGACTTGACATTCGTCATGGCTAGAGGAGGTATGCGCATGTGCACAAGTGCTTCAAATACTGTGGACGGGCGAAATCCTGCGCAAGCTAAGACCCTATGATTCCCCTGTAAATACCGACAAAAGCAATGGTTTCCCATGCCCCTATGGCTCCGGCTTTCGCAAGCTTTTGCTTGCCAAGTCGGATGTTCGATGCCTGACCTGAAACAAGGGGGAAGTCCTCAGAACTGGGCTGTCCGTTTTCTGATCCTCTAAACATGCGTCTTGCTCTGGAAATTTAGGGCTAGCCGGGTGTCCCAACGAGGACGAAGCCATCAAAGGCCTCCAAACATTCCATTGCCAGGCTAGGTCGGTCAAAACTCTCCAATATGTCGAAGGTTCTAGGTATTTGTTTTGCAATATGTACATGTGTACACACACAGCTTGTGCTAATGCCATGCGCTACACAAAATGATTTCTTTTGCAGGCAGCTGAAGTCAGCAGAGATAAGGGGGTCAATGTGTTTTCTCCCCGCTCTCCTTCTCAGCGTAAAATTAGCTGCTTGTTTGTGTTCGTTTCATCGATGGATAAATGCTTGTTCATTTGCAAACGTGTGTCCTCCTCCTGATAGACAAGGTTCTGCTTGCTTGGACAGTCAAACAAGCAAGCAGAACCCCGGCCTTTTTCAAGATGCCAAGCCAGAGCGTGGCGGGCTGCTCTCGGAACAAGGCCATTGGGTGCTTACATTTGGCACCTGTTTCAGGGCAACAAGCTTGGGTCAAAGCTTGTGTGAGCGAGCTTTGCCTTTTCTTTTTCTTGGTTGCCTTAATGGCGTACCAAGTCGGAGCGGTTAGAAATGACCTGACTGCTTTGGGGGAATACGGGTCCAAGTTTGGTCCTCTTGAAGGGCACAGAAGAATTCGCGAATTGTTCCCGTAATGTTCACTGCGGGTACCTCCTGTTTGTGACGAATGGCTGCCTTTGGAACACATGCCTGCTAGCCAGAAGAACCACGGTCGCCAATAATAGCTAGAGTGGCCCTGCTTGGAGTTTCGTAGGAAGCATGGTTGGAGTTGGGCTCTGGTATTATTGCTTCTCGGCTCACTGTTAGTCACATCTGTTCAAAGCCAAGCAAGTAGTCTGAATTTCGCGAAGTATCCATTTTCCAGGTTATGAGCTTTTTACCCGTGCTTCACAACGGCGGGCACTGCCGTCGTCCTAACCAAGCACTTTGCAAAATGAACCCAGCCTCACACACGCCGCTACCACATACATATACATATATATATACATATATATATATATATCAAATGGCAATTTGTGCCGAGACTCGGAAGTGAAGGACGGTTCCAATTTTTTGACACATGCTGCATGCAGGCGTGTCGGCGCCAGACCTTGGCTCAGCTTGTGCGTGAAGAGATCTTTGCATGGGCGGCTTGTCCGCTTGTCTGAACATGTGTTTTGAGAATGTTGGGACTCTGCCTGGTTGCTTTCCTTTGTCGTTTTCTCACACTTGGATTCACTTGAGGTGGTTTTGTTCTGGCTCCTTCTCACTTTGGCTTCCCCTGAGCCAAGATTTGGCTTGAGGCTGTCATGGGAACTTCGCTACGCCCGCTGTTACCCCTGTAATTGGGCCCGGAGGAGTCCTTCGGAGACTGAGGTAGGCCCTCGTGACAATGACTTCCACGTTCTGATTTGCCGCATGTGTCGTTCTCTTTTCCTGTTGCGAAACTGTGGAATCAGAAGTCAAGCCTTCGATTTGACGGGCAGAAACCCTGCCAATGCGTTTGACCGCGTGAGGGGCGCGAGCTGGACATCTTGAGAAAAGGCTAGCCCGTGTCAGCGCGTGTAATGTGTTTGTAGGAGGTGCGGCCTTCTTTCCTTTGATGCCGTTTGGATGAATTAAAGGATGGTGCAATCCCTAATCAAGACTATCCCTTGAAGACTGTGCAGTTTGGTCTTTGCGCACTTGCCCCAACAAATCATCACGTTCATTTCCGTCCTGTGGGCCACCAGGTATAATCAAGAGGTGCTGATATGAATTGACATGTCCTTTTTTTCGCAGTTGGAGTAATTTGATTGCCAATGTTGATGGATTGTTTTGGCCTGCCTGTGGACACCGCAAACACGACAGTTGCACGGTAGATTCCACCCCCTTTCCGCTGGTGGGCTTCTCACTCAACCAGGACCCCCAAGAAGGGATCCCTTCCGGCGTCGACAAGCTACGAGCGTGTGTTGCCAAAGACTTGTCAGCCCCGGTGTTGTAACATAGGGTGTCGCACAGACCTGGCTTTCGGTGGGCAGTTTGTCTTTCATGCTTTCATGCGCAAAGGTCCGGGGCCGATCGCAGTTGTTTTCCCCTAGGGCCCATCATTATTCTTTGTGAACGTAATTCAGATAGATCTCAAAGAGCTCTAGAAGATGGAAATGATTAATTGTCACTTGTGCCGTTTCTGAGAGTATCTTTTTTGGCATGGCTGAACAGGCAGTTCGAAGGGATACCCGCCCGCTTACGGCCATCTATGGGCCTGGTTCGGCTCGAGTTGTTTTAAGCCTTGGTAAAAAGGGTGCGACACGGGCCCGCCTTTTGGCGGACATCATTTACGTGTTGCTTCCACACGCCATCCAGACAGCCCATCCAGCCATGGCCAATCCGTCTTGGCTGCCTTCATGTTTTGGCACACCTATGTGGGTGGTGAAAGTCTCTGACTTCCTGACTTTGGAGTCTCGGCCTGCACTCACTCCCCGAGCTCCTGGACTTTAATCCATTTGGGGAATTTTATGACCGCTTGGTAAATGAAATTCAACACCCTGAATCATGTCATGACAAAAAGTTGCTTGTAGGGCATATCAGAACGACTCCGCGCAAACACAGCCTATTCGAACGTGATTCCCAAAATTCCCTGAGAATGAGTTAAGTCATTCGGATGGCTACGCGCTTTTGAATACTTCAAGCCAACCACTTGGAGGAAAGCCGGCGAACGTCCCTTCACATGGAACACCAGCCGGCCTTAGGCGTCAGGCTAAGGGGCCATCCAGTCTTGCGCGGTTTTTTTGAGTGGCAAGGTGTGAGGGGGGACAGTCACCAAAAGGAGCCATGGCAGAGTTGACTTGTTTACCGCTGTTTACCTTTATGGCTGAGCGCCTTTTGCCCCTGTCATGATTCACCTGGAATTAGGCAAACAGACCTAATTTCACCGTGCCCCACACCTTAGTGCTGCGCATTCCATCCCCTTTCCCTTTTTTAACTTGGTGGTCCCATTCTCAAATTTGTCGATCTTGTTCGCCCTACCCTTTCGGTGCCAGTCCTACCGTTCTTAGACGCGCAACATCAATTTCGCACCACTTGGTGGATGGTCATGACAAACAGTTGCTTGTAGGGCCATTGTAGGGAATAAGCATGACTCCGTACACACCTCCCTTCCGAACGGGATTACCATGCGTGTCAAGCAGCGTCTTCGATTACTTCAAGCCAAGCATTTGGACGGGAAGCACACCCTTCGGATGGAAAACCCGCCTTGTCAAGCTTCCGTGGCTTCTCGGCCAATAGCAAGGCTCAAGGTATTCTTGTGGATGGTTTATCGCAATTGTCAAGGCAACGCATACCCTCCTAACCCGGAAAAGGAATTTTCCTTACCCTTGAAACAGAATACTCCTAACCCCGAAAGGGTCTGAATAGAATTTTTTGCCTCAACCACAATGCTAGCTGTGCTTTCCATCCTCCGCGCCTCGACCATCAATTAGTTCAACCGATCCGCAGGAGGCCGTGCCCTGCCACGAGGAGCTGCAGCGCAGAGGCTTGCTGATCCGCCACGAGGCTCGAGCTTTTGAAACTAACGAGAAATCCCCCAAGGAACCTGCTTGTCTTCAAATAAGTCTGGGGAAATGCTGCTTCTCAGCTGATTTTAGGCACCCTACGCCTTGTTACGGTTGAAGCCGTAAATATTGCAAGTGCGGAGCAGAAAAACAGGTCCGTTAGAAGAAGCACGACGACATGATATCTGTGACCCCCTCCTCCCCTGACACAATGTTGAACTTGCAATACATTGGGCCTTGGAAGACGGGTTTCGCGCTTGGCTTCAACATTGTAACTGGGCGAGAGGGGTCCGCACGCAGCGGGCGATGCCACAGAAATGGTGTCAACACGTGCTTTAGTGGCACTTGCAAATATTTAGGGCTCCCACTGTATGTGTGTGTGTGCAGATGGTACTTGCTCGCTTTTGTGCTGGTGCGCAGGCTCAAAGGCAGGCCCAAGCGATTTGTATCTTCCTTCATGTTGCAGTCATAGGTTCTAAAAACTGGAGAGTGGATTCCAACGTGCATGCTAGGCCAGGAGACAGCTGGTAACACAGACTACCCAGCGTTTGAGGTACGCATAGGGGGACGTCGAGCTTTCCCGAAAACAGGTGTTCGTCTTCCCAAGTCACCCCCTGACGGGAATCACCAACCAGTTTTATTTGACTTTGATAACCGCAGCTCCCATACGCTCAGGATTCCTATTCTGTAGGCCTTATTAGCCCCCCTGCACCAACCAACCAACAACTCACTTTTTGTTTGCCGAACTCTGATGGTTCCTCGCCCCAGAAGAAACACAAAGAGAAGAGACACACAACGAGAAACACTCAGAAAAGGGCAACACCACCTTCAAGGTTTGTTGGGTTTGATTAAGCCTCAGATGATTTCGCCTTCATTGGCATCTGTTGTGGCGGGATCCAAGGTAATGACATCTAGTGTTTGTTCAAAGACGTAGCATCTGCGGCGCGGAAAGCAAGTTTCAGAGCAGGACTTTGGGAGGGGGCAGTTCTCCTTGCGTGCTGGGTGGCCCATGGCTCTAATTCACCTAAAAGGCAACAGAGGATGGGAGCGGTTTACTCTTTCCACCACACGCGCTGCAGGAGGGCTTCTTCTGTATCTTCGTGTCCCATCAGTGGCTGACTGCGAGCCATCCGGATCCCAAGGGTGAGCAGCTGTCGGTGCTGAAGCACGCCTTGTGCAATCTCTTGGCAGGCCAGGGATTCCAGGCTGTGTTCTATTCTGGGGTAGGCTAAAAAGCAAATTGAATCTAAATGCATCATTTTCCTTGTATCTCAGATGTGGGCCAAGTTAGGTGTTGAAACGGGGCCCAAACAAGAGGGCTTCAATTAGTTTCCTTCTAACCCAGGAAAAGACGAAGCAACACCCAACTGGACCAGCCATACTCAAACTCCTGAAGGATGAGAGGGAACAGCCCCAATCAGCGGAGATCCGACCTTTGGGTGGGTAGCAACTCGTGGCATTTTTTTTGGTTGAGGCTAGGCGCAGTTTGGTTGATGGTGAGGAAAGCCGAAAGGCAACTTTTGAAGCCCGCCTTCCTTCCCGAGCCAGCCAACTGGCCACACATCAAAGTTGAGCGCCTTCCAAGCTGCCCGCAGCTGCTCTCGACGCGGCAGCCCCTCAGGATTGCAATCCCAATCGCTCAAGCCAGCTGACAGCCTTGTTTGACCAAACTGTTTTCTTTCAGCTGTTCCTTTCTGCATCGCGCGATTCTCAAAGGCTTTTCTCTACAATTGCCCACGCCAATCAACATTCATTGCATGGAAGGCAAATTCAGCGATGTCCAAGGTGTCCAATGGTCGGAGCTGAGCCTCAACGTGAGCTTGCGCCCACTAATCCAAGCAAACGACATGGGCCGTGTTTTGCCAACTGCTATCCAGCGAAGGACAGGCAGTTCAATCGTTGAGTTTGACGCAAGAGCAGGTGCCCAAATCGGCACAGACCTCCGCGCGGATTTCTTCGACCAGCAGACCAGGCTGAGCAAGCAGCAGCGGATTCGCCTCAAGGAGCTGAGCCAACGCCGACGCTAAGGGTAGATTTTTAAGTTTCATCACTTTGCCCACTAGGAATGCTATGCTGGAGAGGGGGTTACATAGTCCTGTGGACATGTTGCTCCCTACTTCGCACACCGAATGCTTCACCATGCCATGCTGAATAGGGGGTTACGTAGTGGACATGTTGCTCCCACCTACTCCACCGTGGGAAAGTTCTGCCAGGTGTTGCTAGCTTCCTGCAGCACCTGACCCAAACCTATGTCCAATGTCAAATGTGTTTCTGAAAGCACGAGAGGCCTGAAATACGGGAGTGCGCTGTCAGGATGGCTACATTTGGATGGATTGGTTCAGCATCCCGCAGCAGAGCAGGTCGCTTGATTGCTGATTGGCTGGCTTTGAGCGCCATACATGTACACGTTGTACGACCCCGATTCTTTACTGTTATTGCCGTAGCTTTTAGCTTTCTGCATGGGGAGGTCGCCTGTTGATGGGCGAGCCTCAAGTGGGGGCTTCGCACTGGCGCTTGGTGCAGGCCACAACCGGATTGGTGCTCAACCTCCGCGGGGATAGGATGTGATTGACATATCTGGCCAATCAAATCACCGTCGCAGAGAGGAGGTCGGAGCCGAGTAGAGCCAGACTTTCAGTAGAGGAGAGATCTCCCAGTGCTAGGCCAAGGCTCAGGTCGTGAGCCCAAGCAGGATCCAAGGTGAAGCGGGAGAAGTCGGCGAAGCGGATCATGGCGGAAATCAGGCAAAGCCTTCCGCCAGGTAGGAGCAATGCCAAAGGAAAAGGCGAAGCCAAGGCGACGCAGATGAAGATGCTACGGGGACTGGGTGGCAAGGCCGAGGCCCAGAAGGGAGCAGCTCAAAAGGAGCGGAATCATCTCAGCATTGTCAGGTGTCTAAAAGATCTCCGAGGAGCATGATGGATCTTTCCCCAAAGTTTGAAGGGCGTCACCTGCGATCTTCTTTTCTGGCTGCAAGATGCGTCTTCCTCGGCAGGTTTCGTTGTGAGGCATGGCTGGTTGTGCAACAGGCTCTGGTCCACGGTGAAGTCGCGGTGAGGCCCCTGTAGGAGCGCGAGATTGGTGGGGCTTGTTGACGGGATTGGGGCGCTCAGCGCAAGAGCTCGCATGGAACTGTTGTCCAGATACAAGCGGGGCCGCCCTGCCAATTCGCAACCAAAGGGGGCATTGTTGCTGGCACCCCCGAGCAACTACCTTGGCAGCTGGTGGGGGACAAGCCCCTTCCCACTTTTGTTATGCACTTGTAAGCCTGCGGAGCTGCGCGGGGTCACTCTTTCCAGCTGGGCGGCTGGCTTCTTCACTCAAAACTGCGTGCGTAAGAGCTTGCAAAAATGCTTTGAACACGAGTGTGTCAGGCGCACTCTCCTTGGCAATTCTTGGTCTCTAATTTGTTTCGGCTTTTGGGAATGGTTGATGGCAGATTTACTGCTGGGGTGTTGATGAGCTTTTGCCATGGTGGCGCGACTGTCTTCAGTGGTTTTAATTCCGGGGGGTGACCTCCTGATTCAAGGTACTACGGAGGAACCTGAGTATCATTTGCTGATATGGCCAGCGTCTGCCCGGTTCTGGCAGCAGAAGAAGTTGCATCGCTTTTGCGCCTCTCGGCGGCCTTTGCGTAAGACCCCGCGAAAGACCCGAGGCGCACATGGCGCTGCCAAGCATGCTTGAGGACGCTCAAAGGACAAGCTTTCAGGGAGCACCAAGTGTGCGAGCGCGTGCCAGCAAGCAGGCGCCGAAATTGGTGGAAGGCACGTTCTTCTGCCATTGTTTGGAGTGAACTACGAGAAGCTCAAGAAAAGTGTGAACGGCAGTGCGCGGGGGAGTTCAAGCCGTTGTGGATTGAGAGCAAGGATGGTTCATGGTAGGCGGATTGGTGTGCACCCGTGCGCGCATTCTCTACAATCTGGCGGGAGTTGTGGCGCTGGACATGAGGTGACCTATTATAGCCAGCAGGGTTGTTTCGTTTGAGCTTCAAAAATTTACGGTTTCTTGAGGACGCATGTGACGTATGGCTTGGGGCAGCCGGGCCTTTCATAGCTTTTGGATCGCCTTTCCTCTTCCTTGATGGCTTGCGGTATTTAGGTCCGTAGCCCTTCGTAGAGGAGCTGAGGCATGGTGCAGAACTGTTTGCCAAATTCAAGGGGGCCTCCTTTTCACGACAAGCACTGTGCCTTCCAGCTCGAGACTTTCGAAAGGACCTTCAACAAGTTGGGCTTGTAGCTGATGAGCGGGGCGAGAAGCAACGGCCGTTGGCGCCATTCTGCATTGCCCCTGGTTGCCCGCCCGATAATTGGTTGAGAGACAGGATGTGGAAGTTTTCTATGGCTGTGAACAGTTGAGCAGAGTTAAGCCAGGAAAGCTGGAGAGTCAGCTTCACCAAGTTGAGTTCGCCCGCCTCAAAAAGACAGGAAGTTCTCCAAGGGTTGGCACTATCACAGGAGGTGGTCATGTTCCCGGTGAGCGAAAGCAGACAGCAGATCGCCATTTGTGAAGTATGTGGAGGGGAGAAGCCGCTACGGAAAATGGTGCAGTGGCTTACACGCGCCAGAGCGACGTCAGTAGCAGCAGACGTGGCAGCAAGCTGAACAGCACCTAGATTCCTGTGAGTCATTCCCTTCAATTGGGCAGCTGCCGAGAAAAGCGTGGCATCTGGAGTTTTTGGAGCGGCGCTAGCTGCCAAAGCTGGCTGCTGAGCATGGTTTGCATGAGCAGCGGGGGCTTGCTTCAGGGCAGCGAGGAAGCTGCAAAGCCACCCTGACAGTAACATGTATCCTGTTTTCCCTGAAGAAAACCAAGCCAAAACCATCGGGAAGAAGACCTTTGCCGTTCTACACATTGTTATTTGTTGCTTGAACATAAGGGTTCCCACCAAGCCCCCGCCAGAAAAGCTGCACCGCATCAACTCAGGTCAAACTCCTTCGGTCCGGCTGGTGAGACTCATGCATTTGCGCAACTGGCGCCGCTTGCGCACGCTCCTAGCGATGGCGAATCCGACGCGCTAGCAGCTCGGTTCGGAGTTTAGGTCCACGGTTGGGGGGCCTTGTTTTGCCAACCTTGGTTGGGGGACTTGCGGTCTCAAGACACACACTTTGCGTTGGTTTGCAGCCTTGCAGGAGTCGCCAAGTTTCGGTGCCTCTCCAAGTCTGGCCAGCCAGGCGCGGCGACAAAAGCCCCGACCTCATGCCTGGAAAATCTATACGTCCGTTCGCCTAGCACACCACAACAGTTATGGCAAGCAGCAGTCTTTGGAGGGTTCCGGTGGTTTCCTTCTGGCAACCTTTCAAAACTAACCTCAGAAAGCTAGACGCCACATATCCCGGGGGAAAAACAAAAAACGGAAAAGACAGAAACACAAAACATTGATCGAAACGTGCATGGATTCGAAGCCAGCGACTCGACTCCCCTTAATTTGCTCCGCCATGAGGAGCGGCTACCAGCAATTATTAAGACGAAGGATCTGCATCAGCGTACCTTGGACAGGTGCCCTTTGCATGCATGCAACATGGCTGCCAACAAAATCGTGAATCAAAGCAGTCGCAGGCTGTGCCAACCTGAATGGATGTGAGTTAATCTGTGTGTTGCTGTATCAACAGAACGTTGTGAAGACTCCATTGAGTTTCGAAGCTTTGCGCCAACCCATCCACGCAGGCTTTGCGCGCCGACCCACTTGATCCAGCGTGAAGGGTTGATCCACCGACCCTTGCTAGACCCCCGTATCACACTCAAAAAAGCTAGCGTTGGAGCCATGGTTTTCTGGGGCTGAGGAGGTGTTTGCAGACCCTGACAGCTGGAAGAGCTCCTTGTCCTGCTTTCCCGGAAACTTTCGACTTTTTGCCAAGGTCTTTCTACGGTTTTGGGTTCCTCTCTCGTGCTTGATGGACTTATGTTTTACATGAAGAAATATGTTTTAAACAGTGTAAACATGTGCAATAGTGCACTAGATGTCACTTCTATCAAGATTGGTTTTAAGAAGAACCTCAGCCAAGTTACCAGTTGGGGGGAGGTGGTTTGCAGATCCTGGCAGGCGGACTTCATCGAGCGAATCCCATACTTTGTGGAGACTGGGCGTTTGGTAGCATCTTATGTCGTTTTTTTCCAAAACGGTGCTACGGCCTCCTCCAATTTGTTCGGTTGGAGAGATGACTAAATATGAACATATTTTGACGTGTGCCGCAGATTTGGGCCAAGGTTGGTGGTAAATGGTAGTGGACGCCCGAATTATCGCATGCAGAGATCAAGTGAAGGCCTGTAAACTTATTTCTGGTTGGATGTGGGTGGTTTCTTGCCATATTCGCCGTAGCAAATAGCAAATCGGGATCAACGGCCCGCGGACGCATTTTACTATTTTCGCCTGTTCCTTATATCCTTTCCGTATAGCATGTTCGCAAAAGAAACGGTTGAAGTCTTAGGTTTAAGCAATGACCAAGGAGATGTCCAACATGTTCGTGATCCTGGCGCCGCGGTGCCAGCAGGGTGACCTTTCCCAATGCGATTTTGGGAGCTGGTCTCAGCGTGGATGGTGTCGACTAGAGCTTTGGTGCAAGATGCTGTCCGCAACTCGCGCTGCAGGGTCCACCGCACTTCCCGAGGTTTGTTTGTATGATCTTACTTTGTAGGTTCTTTGGGAATCGGCCAAAACCTGAGCATATAGTTTGTAAGCCGGATTCTCGCGCGCATGTTTGCATCTTCGCCAGCTGCACCAGAGTCCACATAAGTCTTTTGCGGCATCCCATTCGAGATCTTGCTGTAAGAGCTTTTGTTTCAGCCAGTGTGTCAGTCACACAGGCCAAAGCAGAATACTTGGCGTCAACTCTTCCGCGTTCCGAGAACCTTTAGGGCAACGAACCCCGCCTCAAACAGGCAGGCAAGAAAACTGCCCCTCGACTGAGCTCGGTTGCGCTGCAAGACAGCCGCAGCAAGATGGCGACGTTTCTTGCAGCTTCTGGTGGCTGGGGAGTTGAGACGTTTGGCAAGCCGTTAAGATTTCCACCTTTTGAATCCACGAGTGTTTTTTGGAGTTTTAGATGGCAATGGTGTTGGAGTTATGTTGGTGCCAAACGCAGGCCGCCAAGTTGCTTGTTTGCGTGTTTGTGTGTTTGTTTGTTTGTTTGCTTGTTTGCTTGCGTGCTTGTTTGGTTGTTGTTGTTTTTTGTGAGTGTGTTGTGTTGGGTTGTTTTGGGTTGTGTTGGGTTGTTTTGGGTTGTTTGTTTGATTGTTTTTTTGTTTGTTTGTTTGTTTGCGTTGTGTCAAGGCATGCTTGTTTGGTGTGTGTGTGTGTGTATGCGTTGATCTGGCTGTTCGTGTTTTCTGCCGGAGTGAGGCAAACGTGGAGCTGCCGGTGGTTCTTGTGTCGGCTGCACACAAAATCGACTTTGCTATGCCTATCGCCTGGATCGACGACCCGCCGGACGAAGGAGCCTTCACCTACGAAGCAGATCGAGGAACAGTCTCTTTTGTCATGAAGACGATCTTGCGAACCAAAATCCGAAACTCAAAAGCCGACAAGAAGTGGGAAGTGTACCGCTACTTTATCGCCCGGTGTCTTATCTGGACTTGGCCAGCCGCGCGCGTCTTCTCCTTCCCACATCCCTTTCCCGGCTCCTATAAAAAGCGGAATTGACTGACTGTCCTGCTCTGTGTTTTTCCACAAGGCGGCTCCTTTTGTAAACGGGGACCTTATGGCATAGGTTGCGCGCGCGGTGCGGTAGATTTGCGTGTTTGAGTGTTGGTCTATGCCTCTACAGCTGACAATCTGCGTCCAGAACAGGTATGACACACTATTGGGACGCCCGCCTCGGCAGCGCACGATGGAGGCGTTCATGAAGGACTCGCACTTGTTGTTGCGCAGACTTGGGGAACCGGCCAAAAAGGGGAAGGAACTGGAACTGGGAGAGAACGTTGCTCGGTTTACCACATCTCTGCTGACTACTCTCAGTAATGCCTGACTTTCCCACCCAGAGCGCCTTGGAGGATCTATTCATGGCAGCATGGCAGCGGGCTAGACAAATTGAAATGGGGGGACATGACAACCCCCTTCCCCGCCCCATTAAGATACAACTGATCCTTTGAATATTGCTCAAAGGCAACAAGGAATCCTTGTAGTGGTTTTACCTTTCTAGTCGGCGCCCCCACAATTGTGCGAATTGACGTGATCTTTAACATGGCCCGCTTCTCGCTGTTTAAAGGCTCCCCTCAAAAAAAAAACAAACAGAACACATGAATCCTGACCTCAAAACTCAGTTTTTCAGCTATGGAATCCTATGGAAGAAATGGTTGGCTTTTCAAGGCCACCCTTTCAGGACTTCCAGCTGAAGTCCCTAGACTCCAAGAAGGGAATGTGCCCTTTGCTCTGCGCCACCCTATCCGGCGACGTTGGGATGATCACACACCTCTGCAATGCGGGGGCGGACGTGAACAGGCCGGGGTGCGAAACATGGGGCTTGGTTTCCTCTAGTTTCATCATCGCCGGTGCGAACAAGCCCAGAATCCCCAGCCGTTCAGTGGAAAGCTTGTTCCATCTTTGGTTTTTTTGTGGGGGAATGGTCCAGCCAGATCAGACATGGCTCCCTTTTTCCACCCAGACCACTCGGCAACCCGGAAGGGAACCACAGGGTGGGTGAAGGATCCGGGTCACTGGTGCCCAACCACCCTTAGCTGTTAAGGGAACAAAGAAGCAAGTTTGAGCAGGCCCGTCAATTTCACGCGTTCATGTGTGAGCAGCGGGCTATGGGGGTTGCAACTTGGTTTGGCAGAGCATCCACGCCTAGCTTAGTGCAATCTGGTTGCTAATGCTTCGTTTGTTCAGTATGGCAGAGCAAGAAACTGGTGACCCTGGGTGTTGTTGAAAACATATCGAGAGTCCCCACTTTTCACCAGGCGACTGTCCAAGAGATCCACCACGTACCCAGCTCAATGCGACTTCTGTAATGCTTCTGTAAAGCCTGCAATGCCTAAGAACATGGACGCAACCGAGAACCGTCAGGCCATGCGTGCAGATTCGAATGGTATATACGCTGTGCGTATATTATAGTGGCGCCACAGTCGCACCAAAGCTCTTTGTGACCCCGGAATGCAGTGCCAAACCTTCAAACACAATGAACAAACATGCGCATGAAGAGGGGAAGCGGACTAGCGCAAGACCTGCAAATCGTCAAGGACGCCCAAGGCCAACAGCATTGCATTTTCTCAGGCCAAGCAACACGTGCTGACCCCACGAGAAAACAAGGGGAAGGCAGGCGGAAATGTCCACAACAAAGTGAAGAATGAAGCAGGGTATGCATCAATACGGGGATCCCCCAAATTGTGTTTTCCTTTTTCCCTGTAAATCCACCTCAAAAAGGGCGCCCTCAACAAACAGAACCTTTCGCTTGCCAGGTTCTACGGCAAGTTGCCGGAAGTCTATATCTTTCAATCTGTGTCGCCGCTGATGCTTGCGGTGTGGATGAGCTGGCGCACGCCGGAAGTCGCCCAGACCTTGCTGGCACGGTCGGCGGATGCCACAGCCTGCTCCAGGGGTGGCTCCTTGCAAACACGGGCGGTGAGGTTCCAATGAAATTGGCATGGGCCATTCAGAAGCACACAGCCCCGCAATTAACCTTGCAGAGTTCGGCTTTTGGAACTCCCCTCAAAAGTTGCAGCGAATCCCAAACAACAATGCACCACGCAGTTTGATTCAGAAGGGTGGGGGCGGCTGGGGGGCGCCAGATGATGCTTGATGCTCGATGTTTGCCATGACGCAACAATAAATATTCGACTCCTCCTTCTTTGGACGGCCGAACAACTTGAAGGAACTTTCTCCCCCTTGAGGTTTCAGACGGACGCTGAGACTTAGCCGTTCCTTAGGGTCAAGCACTTTACACAATTGTTCGCCGCGCCTTCAGCCAAAGGGCCCAAGGTTCGTTTGGTGAGGGGCGTGTCACTTTCCGGCATCAGCTCCCCAATGCGAGCAAAGAGCCAAACAACTGGCCATCTTTGGCGAGTTGCCTCAGCCAGATTGAATGTGCCAGAAAATGCAAATTCTTTAAGTGAATCATCATGTACATTATTTTTGTAAGAGTTGAAAGCAGGTAGCAACAAGACACCTTGCCAGGCAGACTCCAGTTTTGAACCCCAGCTATCCTTTTGGCCGCTTTGCTGCTTTGGGTGACAACTTGCCACGACCGTTGACAAGTCACGCTTTGTTGCCTCGTGACTGGCTGCGTTCTGGCCAGTCGGCTCCGTGTCCTTCATCAGGTCAAAGGCAAGTTACCATTTAAAGGTTAACTAAACCGAATCTAAATGTAAAAAATGCAATAGTCTAAATAATAACATGGTCAAATCAAAAAAATAAGAACAAGCATACATGGAATCAGCTTGTTGGTTTGCAGTGAGTTGCTTGGAAGCTGGTTGATTTGCCGGAACAAGCGGCGGGTTGATCCCCACGAAAACGCGACACGGCGAGTCTGCCTCAGGAGCTCCCGAGCCCGTGGTGGGGTTTTGCAAATCCGCGGCTCTGGTGGAGCTTTTGGTCCAGCACCGGGCAGATGCCACGCGGCTGAGCGGCCCGCGCATCGCGGGTGTTTGTTCCCCATGGACAATCCCTTCTGCTGGGTTTTTTTCCGCTTGAAAGGGGGAGAGTTCGGTTGTTGAAACGATTAAAAAAAAACGGTGCTGCTCCAGTTTCTGGCTTCAAAAGAGGCGCGCGAACGCCACCCTCTGCGCACAGGTCAATACGACGTTTCCTGCCTTAGCTGCGGCCTGTGGGGTTGCAGCGCCCACCTCTGTGATCGCGTCTCTCCTGGAGCACAAGGCAGAGTTGGCCTTTGGGTACCTGATTTCTCGTTTCTTTATGTCCTTTGGAAGGGGGGGCCAAAATGGACGCTTTGCATTTGTACGCTCTCCTGGTCAAGTCAGGAGGCAGGATGTCCTGTTCTCAAGGTGCATCCTAAGTCCTGTTGTTTCTTGGTGCCCCGCTATGGGTCGTGGATCCGGATGCCCCCAATTTGAACATCCCAGGGAACACAGAGAAGACGCACTGCCCGCCAGGCGCAGGTGAATCCTCCTGGCGGCGGCCTCGGGAGCAAGCACCCCTTGTCCGGCGTGGCATACCAGTCCCTTGGCGCGCCTTGGGGGGTCGAAGTCCGCCATGATTGCTTTCTTTTCACCTACCACTTGGAGGGGACTTTGGTAAAATGGGGCCGGCCAGCATCTTGCCGTGATCCCATCACTCGTTGCTTATGCGAACTGGACGGCTGCAAAGTTATGGAGCTCAGATGTCCTCCTGCGACACTGCAACCCCAAAGAGCCCTTGCCAACTGTTGAGCCCTGATTCTTGGCATTATTTGGCCGTCGGACAGGACTTATAGATCGTCCTAGATCGAGGCAAGCGAGGTGGTGCCATGCGTTTTGACGGGGGGCAGGTTGTCATTTAATGGGTCCCGGCTCTTGTCGGTATACGACCAATTCTGTCATGCGGATTTGAGTTTTTGAGATTTTAAGGTTCTCGCGACGTTTTTTTTTGGGCGGGTATTTTCCTCCGGTGGCAAACTTGGGTTCCCCTTTTTGGGGGCCGCGGAAATTTGCTCGCTGAGGTCATCTGTGAGTAGCAACGCCTTGGAGGTGGCGAAGCTTCTGTTGGATGCCCGGGCGGACGTGAATATCCAATATCGCAGCACCGGAGTGTGGCGGGCGGGAGTCTTTGCGTCATTGGCAAGATGTTGCAATTTGTGCGTTACAAAAGATCCCGAAAATTGATTTGAGTATTCGCTTGGTTGACTGGCCCAACTTTGCCTCGCACTGAGGGCAGCGCGGGCCCCATGGTTTCAAACCGAGTCAAGGTCGTGGGTCTTGTTGGGAGCTCGTGGAACTTTAACTTTTGGGTATCTTGTCCGAAGGGTGGAACTTTCGGGGGACCTCGAATTGTATCTTGGACTGGTATGAGTTTTTGGATTTTGTCGGCTTCAAATGGGGTCCCATCCAACCCCAAGACTCCAATTTGGGTATGTGACCCAAAATGGTGGAATCAAAAATCCAAGCCTTTACGTCACCCCAGGAAAATAACAGCCCCAAAAATGGTGGCTGTCCTGGCTCAAGGGCACCCTCGCCCGCCAAGGAGAGTTTGCGTGCAGGAGCGCGCTGAGACTCCGAGGTCGCGGATCAGCGGTGGTCCATTTTATGGCCGCCCCTGGTCTGGCCATATGTCAACCGGGCGTGAGCTGGTACTTGTTAAGGTGTATCGTACGGATATGTGTAAGAGGGGGTTTTGTCGGGGTTTAATATATAGCGGCCCAACAAATTGCACACATTGTTCCCTTATGATCATGACTAAATTTGGCTTGCACACCTTTTTTAAAAGTATGTCAACTGTAGTGCCGCCAACCATTGCTTGCTTTGGCGGCACTTCCAGCAAGTGTTCAGTGCAAGGCCTGAAGACAGCTCCAAGATTGTCTACAAAAGCCTATCATTTGTTTGGCTAATTTCAGCTGAGTTTCCTTTTGGCGGGATATGTTAAAGGGGACGTTTAGGGATCCTTGTTCAATGGGAGTAGGCCGTTGGCCCAGTTGAGTTGCTGCCGGGCGTTCCCCCCCGCATGCCTGCACGGTGGTTGTTACGCCAGTCTAGCTTTGTGTCGAAACTGTTTGGCTGGCGTAAGGTGTCCTTTGTGTTCAGGTCCATTTTGACAAGTCCCGGTGCCATCCCTTGCTGTTCTTGCAGGAACCTCGACCCGCCCAGTCACCATGTTCCTACGCTCATTTCATTGCGTTTCATTTTGTTTCGTTTCATTTCATTTCATTTGGCAATCCACAGGCCCTGGTGACGCAATATGGGACTTTCGGCAAGTTTTTGCAAGGGTGAAACCCGGAGCCTTTCTGCCATTGGCATCATAGCTCTCAATGTCCTCGCCCAGAAGGTATGACACGGTCGACTTGTAGCCCACAAAAAGTTCAACTTGTCCAGGAACCCCATCTGGTCCCAAAACTTGCCCTGGGGTTCCAACACCCACAAAGTTGCAGTGAAGTAACAGGGCCTTTGAAGTTTGAAGCCACCGACTTCACCCAATCTAACTTCAAGATTGTAGATCTTAGCCAAGACCCGAAGTTGAAGTGAACTGGCCAGTTTACCACCAGTCAGTGCTTTTTCTTCAGCAAGTCAGTGAGTCAGCCGAGTTTCCCTGTATATCTAGAGGAATTGGGGTTTCACAGCCCAGTCAGCGACAGAGCAATCTTCGTCCCTTCAAGCTCTGGCGCCGGCCAGTCCGAGGAGTGGTCGACCACCCCCTTGGGTATGGCCTGCTTCTTCGGGTGCGATGAGCTGGTGGAGCTTCTGCTCAGTGCGCGCGCAGCTCGGGTTTTGCCCAGGCTGAGTTGGATCAACTTCTCAGCTCCACCAAAATGGCCTGAGTTGTGGTTAATTACAGGTGTTGGAGTGCCGGGAGAAAGCGTGCTGCAGGAGAAAGCGTGCCAACATGGGGAATCCCCAAACTGGGTGGTTTCCGCTTGGTTTTCCTTCAAACCAACCCCGACCAGGGCACCAAGAACTTCTCAACCACCCCTCAAGCGCCAAATTGCCGTGGCTGGTTACGTGCGGCGGGCCCAGAAACTCAGAACTGGTGCTGGATCTTGAGAAGTGAGACACGGAATGTGCTGCCCGGAAGCCTCCACGAACCAAGGCTGACGGGGTGACGCTGATGGGGTGGAAACGTTGGGCGTGAGGTGGAAGGTGTTTTGGCTTGGGTTTGCAACCATCTAACCAGGGACAAACCACGGGAAAGAATAGGGTTTACACCTCCGGCGAGGACATGTACAGCAGGACAAAGATGGTGGAGTTCTCTGTCGCTCCCGTACGTTGTTTGCACGTTAGGGGGCCGTCTGACCTCTGACCATTTCGGAAGGGGCAACAAAGGGGCAAGACCCTGACTAGTCCACTGGGCTCGCACTTTTCTTCTTCTGTATACGCAAAGTGATCACGCCAGCTCAGGTCAACAACCTAAGCCAACATGAATGTACTGTATGGAGCCCTGTGGTTGAACTGGCTACAGTCCAGTCCAGGGGTTGTTTTGCGGCTGAAGGTTTATTCTTCCACACCCCTCATCGCTCGTGAGGCAAACCCCGAGATCCCCAACGAGCGCGGGCGAACGCCGATTGACCTGGCGAGATCGAAGTCGACGCTGGAGCTCATCCATCATCACCAAACCACGTTCTCCATTTGACGCGGGCATTGCTATCTTCGCATCTTGGCTGTGGTTTAATTTGCATGGACAGATCGTTTTCTTCACATCTTGGCAGACATGCGTTTCGTCTTGGGTCCATTGAAGGCGCCGGATATTTTTTCTTGGGCATGGCCGTGCGATGCATGAACATTCCCTTCTAGCGCGAAAATGAGGGCGGGGGGGCGGGGGAGTCACTTGAAGGAGAGCGCTGTGACGGAATGGTCAGAACGATTGTGCACATTGATCATGAATGTTTGGACCAAACCTCACATCAGCCGCGCTGTGCTGCTTAAGGCTTGGAAAGTGCGACGTGTTTCTAGCAGTGGTTGAGTTTTCGTGTGACCCACAAAATGAACTAGTCTACTTGGTAGGGTGGTGAACTGAGCATCAGAAAACGGACAGCCCAGTTCTGAAAACTTTCCCCTTGCTTCAGGTCAACACGGAGCTTGCGAAAGAGTCATACTGCAGATGGACTCTGAAGTCCATGTGCACATGCACATACCTAGGCATCACGAAGGTCGATTCGAGGATGCCATACACTACACAGAATGCTCTACGTATTTTGCGCGAGGGCAGCTGACATTTGGCGTGCCTATTGCAGAGATAAGGCCGCGACATATGATGAATATAGATGGCTGTTCCCAGTAGTCTCCTTTGTGGAGAAGTCAGGGGTTAGGGGGTCATTAACTTCTCGCTCTCTCTCAGCCACTCAAACGTACTTGCTCATTTGCAAACATATGTCCTCCCCATGACGGACACTGTTCCGCTTGCCGGGACAGTCAAATAAGCAAGGAGAACCCCGGCCTTTTCCAAGCTAGAGCCATTGGGAGCTTATGTTTGGCACCTGCCTCAACAAGCTTGGGGCAAAGCTTGTGTGAGCGAGCTTTGCCTTCTCTTGCTTGCCTTAATGGCGTCTCCATTTGGGGCGATTGGATATGACCTGACTGCTTTGGAAGAGGTCCGACTTGCGGGGTCCAAGTGTCCTCTTGAAGGGTGCACTTCGGGTACCTCCTGTTTGTGATGGGTGGCTGCTTGTCACATAGCAGCTATACCAGGAATGGTCCCCCTTGAAATTTGCGAGAATCTTATCCTGTGGATTAGAGGAAGCGAGGTTGGAGTTGGGCACTGGTTTGTTCGCTTATTAACTTATCGCGTCACTGCAATTGACGTCTTTTGAAGGGAGGAATCCTGGATTTCGCAAACTAACAATTTTCAAGTTTAGGGGCGGGCATTGCCTATTGTCAACGTTTCTTCGTCCTACTCGAGCACTTTGCAAAATGAACCTAGCCTCAAACACGCTGCTTCCACATGCGTAAATATATTTACATCTATGTGTCATCTGCGGTGTGTGCCGAGACTAGGGACTCATTCTTTTAAAGGTCGGTTGCAGATGTGTGACAAGCCAAGCTTTCACACATTCCTGCTGGATTGTCGGCGCTAGACCTTGTCCGCTCAGCTTGTACGTGAAGGGACCTCTGGCCACATCAGGGGCTGGTCCGCTTGTCTGACTTTGTGTTTTGGATGAGTATGTGGACTCCAACTGGTTGCTTTTCTTTGTTGTTTTCTCACATCCCGGATTCGCTTGGGGCTCCGGTTTTATGCGGGCTCATGTGGTCCTTTTTGCTTCCCATGGCTACGCAGACATGCTTCACCGTTGCTCTGGCTGTGTTTTTGTGGCATTGAAACCGTTGCCCCTTCAATTGGGCCCGGAGGATTCCTTCAAAGAGTGAATTAGGTCTTTTCATTTGGTGTGGTTTGCCGCATGTGTTGCCTTTATTCATCCTTTTGCCTGGAGCCATGGAAGTGGACCGTAGTGGACCCTGGCCCTTTGGACTTTTTGACCTTCGTCTTCCAAACTTTGACCGCGCTTGACGGGCGCGAGCTGGCCATCTTGCTTCTGCAACAAAAGAAGGCCTGCCCGTCTCGGCGCGCTGTAATGTGGAGAAAGCTCAGTTCCATAGGGAAACCAAGTAGATGAATGCCTGAGCTTTGCAGCTGCGAATGAGGCGCCCATAGTTTCGGAACAGGGCTATGCGTTCAGGACTCCTTGTGGACACTTGGCCAAATCGCTCCTTTCGGTGGGCCGATGTTCGCAGCTACGAGCTCCAGCGATCAGCTTTAAAGGGCCTTTCGGGATTTGCACGGCGAGCAACCCGTCCAGCCCTGTTTAAACCATCCAAGTGCCAATGGCGCTGGGGCAGGACCTGAGAGGTATGCCCCTAGCAGAAATCCCCAGAACGAGCAAAGTTCGCGCGTCACCCAGGGATTTCACTGGCCACACTCGAGAAGGCTCGAGGCGGGTCGAGGCGCCAGCCGCATGCCCGTGGCAGGCTTGTTTCTGGATCATCGGGGCTCTTGTGCCTTGCCGAATTTCTCCGAAGGAAAAGTTGCAACTTGCATTTTGTTGCTTGCTTAGTTCGCATGGCTGGAATCAAACATCGAAACCGTGTCATCCTAAGCCCACACGGGCATTGTACCAACCGATGCCTCTTTGAGGCGCCTTTTGAAAATGATAGTTCGCAGTGTCTTCGGCATCTGCCAGGCCATTTTATCTCAGGTGTTTGATGCCCCCGCCATGGCTTCGCTGTCATGGCTGCCGTCCTCCTTCGGCGTTTCGGCGGCCATGTGGGTGGTGAAGGTGTCCGACTTCCTCGCCTTCGACACTGGGATCCGGTCCAGTGGCCGGTTTTCTCCGGTGTGTTTCGTGCGGGGGTCCTTTGGTTGACAGCTAGCAAGTTGCGGGGGCGGGGGGGGGGGGAGGTGTCCCGGTGTCAACCAACAGCGTGGTCCTTCCCCAACTGCTGGGCACGGATTCGGATGTTCATTGGGCCCGAGTCTGCAAGGGGCGGCCGTTTGGGGCATCCTCAAAAGGCTCCAAGGAAGTTCCGAAGGACATTTGTCCAAGTCTTGAGGAGGGGACTTCTGCTAGTGAAGCAAAGGCCGCAGACATTGAAGCCACTCATACACAAAATATGTTTGTAGTTATTGTATCCCCGGGACTCTCGATAGCCTGCGAGGGGTTTTGGGCTTCCCGGAAACGTGGGGTAGGTACAACCACTCAAGCTGCACGCAGGGGTTCCGAAATGAAATCACTGCGCTTCCTTAGGATGAGCCGCATTTCATTTGGTGCCGTAACTGCTTTAAATGTCTCAATGCATGAAACACTAGCATCTGGTGTTTGCGTGGAGCTGGCTTTTGAATGTGAACAACCTGCAGAATAAGCAGAACAATGGCTGACACAACCAGGACATGAGACATCTTTTTGACACAATGACCAACCAGCTTGTTGGCGCAGCCTCACTGCCATAGAGTTTGAAGTCTGGTGGCGGTGCTTTTTGCTTAGGATATGGTGTACTGCCACGAGGAGTTGCTATCGAAGAACCTTGTGGTTCGTCGTCAGGACTTTGGAGCGTCACATGTGCCCGGGTACCTGTGGTCATGCCATGTAGGCACGTGCTTTGCCAAGATCCGACGTGTGTATTTTGCACGTGTGCTGTGTCACAGCTGTCAAAACCCATGCTTCCGTTTCGAGGCCAAAATGAGACTCACCATTTGGAGTGACCCTTTTTCACACACACCTTACGCGCCTTTCAAAAAATCCGGTTTCAGCCAGTTGCCAGCAAATTGCCCCAGGCGCCGGCAATTGCCCAGATAGCACTTCAAGCGCCGGCGCACTTCATTGAAAAATGGATGCACTTCCTGTCGCACACACGAAATGCGATGTTTCTCCAACTTGTTTGGCTATGAACAATGAGGGACACCCTCCAAACATGGTGGACATACCATGTACGTGATGTGCACCAACGGTTTCCCTGCCCAAGTTGGCTTGTACTAGTACTGTAGACATTGACTGGATGGGCCTTTCGCTCCGTTTCGCTTGAACCAGGAGCTGATAAACACTTTGTCAAATTGTCGCTTCTCCCCTGCAGATTGCCCTGGAACTGGGCCCCTTTCAGCGTTTCCGACTAATTTGCGGGCAACTTGGAGCTTTGGGTGCATGTCAGCGGTACGTTGCCGGTGCCGGGTCCTTGTCCGCAATCTGTTGCTCTTTTGTTTTGGGCTGGGGGGGCGTGTACGCCAAAAATACACACACCCATATAGAACCCACACTCCACAGCCCAATATGTTGCTGCTGATTTGCTTTTTCTCCATGTTTTTTTTTGGGGAGGGGATCCGCCAAAAGCATAGACACACCCAGAACCTGGTTGTTGTTGGGAAACATCTTACATTTTTGCTTATTCTGGTTTAGTGGGAAATCCCCACCTAACGGCTATTCTTAAAAAAAACATGTTTTGCTCCCCTTCCAGCGTCAACCAAGAGAAGGAGAGCAGCATCCCAGCATCCGCAGGAGGGCTTCTTCTGCATCTTCGTGTCCCACCAGTGGCTGGGCATCCGTCATCCGGATCCCGAGCGCCAGCAGCTGCAGGTGCTGCAGGCCGCCCTGCGCTTCCTCATGGCAGGCGGAAGGGGCGCGTCGTGTCGAGGCAAAACCCGAAAATTTTCAGGTTCCAAGGGAAGCGCAAAGGAAGAAGCGCCGCTTTTGTGCATTGTTTTCGGTTTTCCCTCTCATTTTTGGGTTTGACCCCGGGCCGCCTTAGTTTGACCGTGGGTATCTTTGTTAAATCCATTCGTTTGGTCAGCTCATTACCGCTGCCCAAGCTCAAATGCTGAGGCAATCAGCTACAAGGCAGAGTGGCTCCAGCGCCCCCAATCTCAAGGGTTCGCGTTTAGAACCAATTGGCACGGACCAGTCCGGAGGTTGGAAAACCCCAACGCGGTCCGAACAGAGAGGGAAATTGGAGTGAATATCAAATCATCAAAGATGGAATGTGCAACTTGCTTTCTCCTAGGGTGCAGTGGTAAGCATTGCAAGGCATATCACTCCAGGTTGTTGCCGATACCAGGGAGTTTCCCCGAATAAGCCCATTGAGACTGGGATGGATGATTGCACCTACCATTCTGTGAGGGTATGTGTCCAACACTTGGCCTTGCAAATGGGTTCTTGCAGGCCACGCTACTGTGGATGGAAGAACCGTTGGAGTTGGGAAGCCCCTCCTGGTTAGAGTGTGTTGCTTTTTGCCAAGGCTTCTGTGGATGGACATAATCCTGCACCGTTGGTAGGTGGCTTATCCCAGCATTCATAGTGTTTCATCCATGCCAACTGGTGCCGGGTGTGGGTGTAGTGGTCCACATCATGTTTCATCTTTGTGTTGAAGCACGTCCCTGCACGCGCGGGCCTGCGCTTCAGGTCGAAGCATTTGATCGCGACGATTCGGGTTTCGCAAGGCGGAGAGGTGGGTTTGGACATCCGCGACACCGTCTTCACCTCGCGGCATTGCTTCAGCGAGCAACGAGCTCGTCTCAAGGAGCGCTTTTTCCCACAGGGAAAGCACCGGATGAGCATCCTCTTTAACAGGTCCAGGCCATTCAATTGCTGTTTCCATGGTCTGGCTATGTCTTGCTCATTTTCCGGAATGGGCCAATTGTTTCGCTTTTTCAGGAGGCCTACATCTGGATGGATTGGTTTAGCATCCCGCAGCGCGATCTCGGCGCAATTCTCGCCGACCCCGACGAGCAGGAGAAGCCTGGCAAGATTTGGCGAAGCTTTTGCTGATTGGGTGAGCTATGGGGTCTAATACTCGGTTACCCGGAAAGTGTCCCTGTATTCGACTTTGCCGATATCGAGCAGTGTCCTTGTGTGCCTGTCACCGTGGTGTCATACGGTCCCAGCAGTTTCCCGTGGTGCTGCTGTGTTGTCCGGGCGGACAGGGTCGGGTTGGGGAAAGCCATGAGTTCATAGTGAGTCCCGGACAGACCGATAATTTTGTAGTTTTCCGTGGCTGGCCGGTTTCCCGTGCCGCGGAGTTCCTGTGATATCCCAGTGTTATTTTGCCGTTGGCGTCCCGGTGGCCCTCCGGCCTGATCGGCAGAAGGAAACGGCTGAAGGAGCAAAGGTACGAGGCGTGACGGCCATGTGCCTGCTATTGGCTGTCGCTATAAAATTTGACGCAGACCCATTGGCTCCCCGAATATGTCTTAAAGCCGAATCCTCCCAGTCTTTACAGGCCGATCAAGAGAATTTACAGGAAATCCTTGCACAACTTGGCCAGAGTCAAGTGTCCAAGCACGTCGGTTTCCATGACTTGGTCAGCCAAGGAAGGTGAAGACGTCCCAGTGGACTGCCCATGCCCTTCCCAGCTTCGGCCAGGACAGGGACAGCTTAGGCTCGGCTGACTTGGCTCCGGCTGTGCAGACGGCAAGCCGCCGGCTTCCCGGCGTTGTTGCATGGCATACCTGTGCGCCCAGTGTGCAACTGCATAAATGGGCTTTGAACGACCTCCACTACTCGCAGCAGGCAACATGGTTACATGTTGTGTCGTGTCTAGCAGCTATTCAGTGGTTATTGCCTACCATGATTTGTTTGGGGAGGTATTTGCTGGGGGGGGGGGTCGGCAAACCCTTCTAGAAGCAGGGGTGCTCATTCCTACTAGGCTGGCTGGTCTACCAGTCCGAAGCTCTAATTCCCGAAGCGTTTCCGAATTTGCCCAAAACCGCGACAAAGAACAGAGCTGTCCACTTACTACAGCCATGTGCCGGAGGCATTACCTAGGCATGTCGAGGAGCCGTCGCCTCTGACTGATCATCACGCATGGGTTGCCACAACGCCGCAAGGCTTTTCTCTATTTCCCCAATATGCGGAGTGCGGATCATGAGATCAAGGGCCTAGGGGAATCCTTCAAATTTGAGGCTGGCAGAGCTTGTCGTAAACCCTTTGTTCTGGCAATTCAGGCATCATAGCAAGGGCGCGCCTTTTCCACGGCCATGTCCGCAGTCGAAGGAGGACTTCATTCAAAAGATCCCTGACTTCGTCGAGATGTCGGACTTGTTTGTGGTTGTGGCGCCGCGGTGCACGCACAGCGTCACCAAAGCCCGCTGTGGCTTTGGGACCTGGTCGCAGAGGCTGGCGACATCTTTGCCGTTCCTAGCCATGTAAGCATCTAGCCGGCCATTTGTCTTCATAACTCGGCTCTTTGTTGCACTCATCTGAAAGCTTGACGGCTTCGTGCATCAAGCAGACGCTTGTTTCTTTTTTTTGTTTTGTTTTTTCCTTGTGCCCTTTTCCCCTGAAGCAGAGTTTGCAAGGGTCTGTCTCATATGTTCAGGGGCTGGTGTCGGCTAGAGCTGTGGTGCAAGATGATGTCTGCACCTTGGCTTGGGCTGAGGATTTGAAGAAGGCACCCCCAAGCCAAGCCATTCCTGTGCAAAGGCCAGGTTTAGTGCAGAGGCAGCTTTTTTTTGTCCACTTGGATTGGTTTTTGGGATTTTTTTGTTGGTTCCCTTGTTCTGGTCAAAGGTTGGCCCAAGCCTGTCATTTGCACAGCGGGTATGGTGCTGCTCTATTTTTGTCGAGCTCGAGAGTCGTCTTTGCCAAATCAACTCACCGTCCTGCAAGTTCCTAGTTCACAAGAGGGAACCTCCATCCAATTGAAAATTGACACACGCCCTGTCACTCTGAAACTCCCCCACCCTGGACGGAACTTGTCCACAAAAAGGGCTGCTTGGTCAAAAGCCTGCATTTGTTCACAGGATGCTAGGACTGGCCCTGAGTGATAATGACTAAGCTGGTCGTTGCTCCTATTCCTCTACCTGCAGTACCCTGAATGCTGTTTTGCTGGTGCCTCCTTGGCGAACCGTGTAGGCTGCGATGCCAAAAGGATCGTGTGAGTGCCTTCGGAGGTTCCAACTGGGAGACGGCGTGTTTTTGTCGCGTCTGCCGCTAAGTACATTTCGTTGCGAAGCCCGCTGTGCTCGAAGTCGGCATTCCTTCCTGTGAGCTTTTCGAGGCACACACGCGAACACCAGCTGTGGTGATCTCAGACGTCGACAAGACCCAGTTCCTCGTGCCGTTGTGGTGGACCGACCAGCCACCGCATGAAGGCAACTTTACCCATGAGTCCGATAGAGCTCCAGTGGTGCAGGTTATGAAGGACCTATTGCTCACCAAGATTCAATCTTTGCAGCTTGGCTATTCCGCCTTCCAGTATTTCTGAAATAAGCGATAGATCAATCTCCCTACCATATCGCGTTTCCTGTGCCCTGTGTTGGAGTAATTCCCGTCCTAATTAGGCATGGCCTTTTTGAAAGGAAGAGCTCCCAGAACCTGGATGTCTACCGCTACTACGTCGCCCGCTTTGACACTCTGCTTGGCCAAACTCCTCGCCAGCGCACTCTTGAAGGATTCCTGCAAGACTTTGAGTTCAAGTCCCTGGAGCCATTGCCAGACTGGAAGTAGATTTGCAGTTGGGTGTTTCTTTTTTGGTTTGATTGAAAATCGCGTTTCCTTTTCCAAGTACCTGTCAGTTGCCATGTTGCGTAGACTTGTCATTGCCAAGCATGAACCATCAGCATCCGTTTGGGCTTGCAGCGAGTCGAACTGGGCTGGCTAAGGACTGTGCCAAGAATTCACGGGGCATCTCCGCCATCGCCTGTGCTACCCTTGCGGGTGACGCGAACATGATTTCTCTCCTTTGCGATGCTGGGATGGACGTGAACAGGCAATCTGATTTCTGGGGCAAATGGCCGAACCCGCCATGAACAAGTCGTGCCTTTTGGCTTTGGCCGGGCGCAAAATCTCCGGGCCCTCGAAAACCCTTGAAAGCTGCGGCTCAGGCTTTGGAGCTTAAGATCACCAAGGGTCCTCAGATACTCAATCGATTCTAGCCAGGACCAGTCGTGCATCCACAACGCGTAGCATTTGACAATCCACTTGTTGGAACCATGGGTCCAGCCAACATCACTGGATAGCCACTGGACGGCGTCTGCTTGGAGCAGCGGCATTTCAATTGCAGCCTTGGTTCCATTTATGTGTGCCCAAAGCCCTATTCTCCGTTTGGTGGGCCTGGTTCAGTCAGGAGGTACGAGGCATGAAGTCTCAAAGTCATGTCAGCTCAATACTTAACTGCCGGAATGGCCACCACGAGAAATGCTTCAAAAACAGGAATCCCCCCCCCTCGCAGGCGTAGCTGTGCAATTCCAGAAGTCTACATCCACGAAAAAGTGGCGCCAGTGATGCTCGCAGCAGCTCTTGGGTGGCGCCAAGATGATGTTATCACAACCCTCGTGGAGCGGAAGGCGGATATGAAAGCTGCGACCGCCTCCGGCGACTCTGTCCGCACCGGGTAGTGGGATCGGGTCTATCCAACCATTGTGATACTTGTGGGAACCCCCTCTTATGGGAGATTAGTCTTTGGGAGACCTTTTTTTTTTGTGTTGTATCACAGAAGTGGTCATTCCCCACAGCTGGTCTGCACTGAAAAAACACGCAACTTTCGCTCTGCAAGACAAGCACCAACCTGTGTGACCGCTTGGCTCTGCCTTGATCCTTGCCCGTTTCAAGTCCAGATCCGTTTGGCAAATGTGAAGTGATGGCTGTTGTTGTCCATTGCCCTACTGCGAGAGCTTGAATGTTTTGACGCACTTGAATCGTGCGTCTTCAAACTTATCATGATCATCCCAAACAAAAAGGTAGACGAACAAGAGACTCCCGCATGGACGGACAGATGCAAACATAGACAAAGACAAGCGCAATGACAACACAACCGCAAACACAAGCGGGCACGCAGTTTGGTCCATTTTTAGTAAAGGTCCCAAAAGGTTAACCTTTTATTTCTGGGTCCTTTGGGCAACTGAGCACACGCACACACACTCAAGCACCAGCACTATCAGACAACAAAACCTCCCACGCGCACACACACACAAGGACAAGACAAGCCAAGCACACACAAACACACGAAAACACACACACACACACACCCATGCATGCACCCACACACACACACGCACACACCCCGACACACACCCACGCACACACACACACACACACACACACACCACACCCAGAAACACACAAACAAACACCACAGCCAGACACCCACACACACACACACACACCAGACACACGCAAGACGCACACCAGACACACACACACACACCACACACACCACACACACCACACACACACTGCACACACACACACAGCACACACATAGACACTACACACAAACACCACAAAGTCACACACTCACACCACACACAAACAAACAACACACCAGACACCTACACACACACACCAGACACACACCAGACACACACCAGACACACACCAGACACACACACCACATACACACACACACACACACACGCACACACACCACACACACACACACAACACACACACACACACACCGCACACACACACACACCACGCACACGCAACACCCACGTACACACCACACACGCACACCCGCACACACACACACACACACACACACACACACACACACACACACACACACACACACACACACACACACACACACACACACACACACACACACACACACACACACACTCCGCAAACTCACACACTCACACACCACACACACACACACACAGACACACCACACACACACAAGCACACACCACACACACACACAGACACGCACACACAGGCAGACACGCGCACACGCACACACACGCACACACACACACACACACACACACACACACACACACACACACACACACACACGCACAGACACATCCCACAAACACACACACAAACACGCGACAACAAGCAACCTGCATTCATACGGGATGCGTGCGCAAACCAACTTAGCGCTTTTTCTTCTGCCGCTCACATTCCCTCACCCGCCCCCCGACACGCAGACCTGCAAAGAGGCAGCAGACGAAGGCTGAGGAGAACTCCGGGCTGAAGGTAGAGGCAGACACTAGTAGACGAAGGCAAGAGGTTTATTTGCGTTTGCCACGGTGCCCCACGTTGCATCATCTTGTTGCGTGGTCGCTGCGGTTTCTGAGGGGTCGCCAAATCTAGCAATGCTGACATGCCAGGGGGTTGGAAAGGAATCCGACGTCGAGTCGCAGAGAGCGGCTCACGTAGATTCACAGCAGGGTTTATCGCTCAAAAGGTTTTTACATAGGGTGCCACGGTCTTCTGGCAAAGGCGGGTGCCGAGGGCAAACCAGGATTTGATGTGTGATGTGGAAAACCTGAACGCCTGAGACCTCAATATGCAAGAGAGAAGTCGACCGGGCTTTCAAGATGTCATGTGTCAAAACGATTGGTGGCGTTTGGGACAAGTTTAAGACGAAGCCAGATGTCAAGGAAACGCTAAAAGGGTCCCGGGCTTGCTTTTATACCCAGGGACGGAGTCAAGAGTTGCAGCGCAGCAGATATGCAACTACAAGCATGTGGGCCGTTTGCACGAACCCGACCCTCATTCACCATTCCAACCAGCCGCTGCCCCGGCCGAAGCCAGGCACACCGACAATCCAAACGCAAACGTATGCAGGGGAAGGCTGTCTGCAGGGCCTCTCATTTTACAAGATCGTTGTTTCAGGTCAGTTGCCGGTTGGTTTAAGCTACACTCGGAACAGAACATTCAGATTTGCACACTGCTGTCATGTCACGGCGCCCAAGGTCATCCTTTATTGGGATGGTGCAAGTCAGCAAAAACAGTTGACTTCTTGATCTGGCACCGCGCTGATGCCGCTTGGCGATCTGCCTGCTGACGTTTGTGCAGTTTTTATGTGTAATTAGGTGGTCAGGCCTTTCGTTCCCGAGATGCCATCTAATCACAAACGACAGGGGAATTGATGCCAGAACAAATCTGAAGCTTGATTGCGCTTTTCTGGCTTGCCGTCATGATCCGTCTTTGGCTTTTGGTGTCCGGGTCCCCAACAACAGCTGAAGTGGGTGCGCTCCTTTCTGCTTTGGTGTTTAAATTCCGACAAGCAAGTTGAAGTTTGACGGCCCGTTTTGCTTTGCGGCGTTTCAGTCAGGTCAAAGAAGATGCATTTTGGCAGGTGAATGACAACAGGGTTGATGGTTGCTGTTTGGAAACCGTATCTTTCTCCGGGTGGACCAACAGAGTGCATTGCTGGAGGTCGAATTTTCTTGACTCGGATGGCTGGAGCTCTGAATCCCTTTCAAGAACCAATCGGGCGCCTTGGAGAGCGGGCCGGAAGTCCAACAAGGTGTGATTCCCTTTATACCCGTGTGACTTTACAGGAGGGTAGCTATTTGAGTTTTGAAGGCGGATCCCAGGTGAACCAACAAAGCGGCTTGGCCGGCTTCCCGCCCCTCACGGTGGCCTGCTTCCTTGCCGCGCCCACGCCGGTCATCCGCACGCTGCTGAAGCACGGCGCGGCCGCGAATCCGCGTCCAGGCCGCGTTGGCTGCATCCATCCCTTGGCAAGCGTGGCCTACCGCGCGACGATGAAACTCGGACTGGAAATATGTTTGGCGCTGTTGGCCTTTGTCGCGCCCCCCACCCAAGCAAAATGTTGCTAGGCATGGAGGGTCTCTGTGCTGGTTGGGGGTTGTCAACTATTCGTGTCAAGGGTGGCTGCACTGTACGGGCGCCATTTACCCCTGGTTAATCGTGTGGCTCCTTACAACGCCAGTGAACTTTACTTTGATCCTTTGGTGACCATTTTTCCGGAGTTTGTGTTCACCAACCACTTCCCCATCAAGATGCATGGCACATTGATTCTTCAACCAGCAGTTGGGGGCTGGGTGGCAGTAGTGTGATTCACTGAGCTGCCCGCTTGCCAGCCCAATCTGCGGGCATCCGTGCAGCGGGTTGCAGGAGATGGGGCCGGCTGAGTTGCGCTTTATCCCAGAACTGGCGAAACGGGTAGTTGGGAGGAGGGGTCCCTTTTTTAAAGAGGGGCCCACCACTTTGTGTGGTTTCCTTAATAAAAAGACAAGCCCAAATACATACCCCAACAATACAACAGCCCCAAAAACACAATGCTGCCTAAAACGCGCCTAGATTGTTTTTGTTTGACGTGTTTTCCTGAATTGAGCGTTGGGTGCCCCACAATTGTCAAGAGGTGGTTTGTTCTAGCCAACCCCTTCCCTCCCCGGCCCAGGAGTACTAACAGCTTGGAGGTGGCGGCTATGCTTTTGGATGCCAGGGCCGACGTCAACATCCAGTACCACAGTTCGGGGATCCTGCGTGCCGCCGAGTTGATCAGCAGGGCAGCTAGGGCTTGCGGCCAAAGTTCCCCGGGCATGCAGATCGTGTCCGAGCCTTCGATACATGTGGTATGCCTTGCTCTGGGAAATACCTCTGCTATTTAGTGTCGTGGGTGTAGGTGGCAGTTCTTTCTTTCCGTGCCATGTGCGATTTACCCTGCTTTCTCAAGTACTGGAAAGTCTCTAATCCACACACCCCTTCCAATTGATTTTTCTCTGGCAGCCGCAACCGTTTTGTTAATGGACAACGAGGTTTGGGAACGGGTTTTCCTTTCCTCACGGAAACAACAGGGCGGTGAACCATGCCGATGCTTGGTGAGACGCTTGTTTGGACCCCAAGGTTTTCTGACACTCTTGCTGAGTTGTTTGCAAGGAGTGGAGTACAACACCGGTGGGGTTTGCTTGCTTCTTCGGCTGCCCTGAGCTGGTGGAAATGCTGTTGGAAGCACGAGCGGACCTTGACATTCCCAACGAGCGCAAGAATACTCCCTTGCACCTGGCTCGATCCAGGTCGGTCCAGGATCTCATCCATCACCACCAGAACACCTTTTCCATTTGACGGCCCCGTACTTTGCCTTCTGCCATTGCGCCGGAGGGGTCGGATCATTCACAGCTCTGTCCGCGCATGACTCCGTCGATTGCTGCAGCTAAGGTTGTCCATGGTTGGCTCATTCAGTCCCCCAAAAGTTGCAAGCTCAGCCCAGAGTCCGTTCATTGAAATTGTCTTTGCGCCCAACACGCCTGCGCTTGGAGTGCCGTGATCAAGAGCTTGTTTGAGTGACTGTGGCCTTTTTGCAAACTTGCTCTTTGGGGAAGCCGTCATGTTCAACTTTTGACCGGCAACATGGCGCCTTTATTTTATCCTGAGAGTTGTTGGCGAGTTTGTTTTTTTCATGAGCCAACCAATGGCATTCGCCCGCCTTTTTCCTGTGCCTCTAATTTAGGAGACACCAAGTGACTGCTTAGGGCACCAGGCCTTTCGGCGAGCGGGCTGAACGATGCGGCCACTTGTGTCTAAGACACCATCTCCAGGAATTGCTCCAAGAAAAAGCCCCAAATACCTACAAAAACCAGGGTTTGGGCGAACTTGCTGGAGAGTTTGATGGAGCTGGTGTTTGAAATGATGAAGATTTGCCATTTGGTTCAAAGGTATCGACTGTAGGGATCATTGCAAAGCTCCCAAAGGTTAGTGACTGTTCTGCCAGTGAACCACGAATGGACGCTTCCCCTTGGAGCCTTGCGCTCGCCTCGGGCGATCTGGAACTGCCCAGGGCAGAGGAAAGCACGGCCGACCGTCTTGCAGCATTTTCAGTTTGGACAGTAGGGAATTTCAATACCTTTTGGGTGAATTATAACGACCTCACACGACCTCACCCCAAATTGCGGTTTATGTGGGGAACAGCCCCCCAACCACCTTATTTCAGGTTGGTGAAATATTATAATTCACCCAGATACCTTGTATGCTTGCGAGTGGAGCTCCAGGCTGCAACTGCAAGCTAAACCCATTGCAGCTCGTTCGTCGGGAGTATTTGTAAACTCTGTTAGCAGATGGCTTGCTGTCTGCAGTAAGCTGACGGTTTGCCCCCCCCTGCGTTGCTGTCTGCAGTACTCGTGCTGACTCGATCGGGCTTTACCAAGCTGAATCTCCGATGCATAGTCTGAGCCAACCTTGGGTATCACTCCTAGCCAAATTTGCGCCATGTCGGGTGCCGTCTGACCACACGAAGCTAGCTTGCCCAGCGCATCGAAGCAAGCCACGGCATGCCAGTAATAGCGCAATGGCTTGCTTGAACACAGGGCTTCTGGCAGGGGGATTCTTACAACCAACCCAAAATACAGTATTGCAAATTATCAGCAAACTTGTTTTGCCCTTTGGCCTTTGGTGCTATTCTCATTGCCTCCCTTCTGTTCCGGCGTGTGGTGAGGCCGGCCTAGGAGCAAACCTTGCGGATAAGTTTTTGTCAACCAGGGTCCCTGCATGGCTTTCAACAAGCGGCCGGGCAGGGCCAGTCCTGGTTTCGATCGAGCAGGCAAGGTAGATTTCGCTTGAACAGGTGTTCCGCGTTTCCTTGGGTGGTTTCAGCACGGCCCGGTTCTGAACGGGCAGATCAAGAACTTTCAGCCAGAGGCGGGCTCTGCCTTCGATTTTCAAGAAACTGTTGAACTCTGAAGGTGGGGGCCAACATGTTTCGAATTCTCGCACTTGGTTTTTATTGCCATTCTTGTCTGATTCCTAGATGTTTGGTTGTTTTATCATATTATTTGCTAGAGATCGGTGTTTTCTTCGGCCATGGATTTTTAAACGCACGCACTCATGCGGGCTGGCCGTTTGGCGCCCGGCCAATCAGGAATCGGCAAATGGAGAGAAGAAGAGTCGTCTCGGAGACCGAAATATGGATGGTTCGCTTTAGGTCAGGTCTTCCTTTGGGCCAACCCAGAAATGGCTACGGCTACCTCAAAAGTCACAGGGCGTAAGTTGCTCGTTGTTTTGTTGATTGCGAATCCTACTTGCAGTATATGGACGACTGCGAACGCGTCTGGATTTGGACTCTGGTTTGCGCCGATCAATTTTACACCATATGTGCCATGGTCAAGAGACTTCTGTTTGCTTGAGCCATCTTTGTCGGGAGTTCGCGATGGCCACCGACCCGGCAAAATGGGTCGTAGACAAACATAACAAGTAATCCTAGAGCCACAGAAGGACATCAACCATGGCACATGTTTTGTTGGGCGCGGTGGTGTGTTCACAACCGATGTTGCGGTTGGACCGTTGGACGGCATCTGTTGCGGTTGCGCTTGCGGATGGCGCTCAAAACCTGGCCCTTCTAGAGCAAGCACCGATGTGTCCAAAGATTCTCAGAAAAGCGGACCTCTTATGGTTCCTGATCTTTTGTTGTCTATGTGTTGTCCTGCTTTGAGAATTCGCAGCTCAGAGTGCATCCCAGGGGAATTTGCTACCAGGGCTCTGCCTGCATTTGCGCCCACAATTGTGGGCAGACGGCTCAGCGCAGGAGTGCTGACTTAGCCACAGACATGCGCAAGTGCGCGACCAGCAAAGATATTGCCGTCACTGGCTATATAAGATGAAGCTCTCCCAAAGGCGCAAATACACTGTGAAGACCTGGGAAGACCCCGCCTTTTTTTGTGCAGACCCCCCCCTTCTCCAAACGGGTTGAGTTTCTAGGCCTTATCACGGCCAAACAAGGTACAAAACACCTCAGGGCTTGATGGCATTTGTGTGTGTGTGTGTGTGTGTGTGTGTGTGTGTGTGTGTGTGTGTGTGTGTGTGTGTGTGTGTGTGTGTGTGTGTGTGTGTGTGTGTGTGTGTGGGGGATGGTTGGTGGGGGCGTTCGTTTCCTTGGAGCTTCCAAGCAGCCTCGTGTTTGACTTCAACCGGATCATCTGCGGTGAAAAGACCGGCTGAGTAGATGTGGGCACGCCAGGGTTGGCAATGCAAACTGGTTCTTTTTTTTGGCCGGGACCAATTCAAACGCGGTACAAAGATAACAGGGCCTTCAAGCGGGTGGCTGTTTTTTGGGCGGGTGCCATTTTTTGAGGTGGCATTACACTGAATCAAGAGGGAAACAGTCGGTTCTGGGGTGTTCTCTATTTTAACACGGCCTCAGATGGTGCAAATAATGGATCCTCTCAGGTGCAATGGACAACAATATGGAACGCAGCCAACACGAGGCTATCGCAGGTGGGTACTTTCTTTCACTGGCCCTCGGCCTCACTTGGCCAACCTCAAGCGATTGAACATGTCCCCTTGGTGGTGGCTTGAGCGACTGCAACTTGCCCAAATTCCACCAAAGTGAAATTACAATTCTGTAAATGTGGGTAAGGGGGAAGACTAACCCGATGAGAGATTCGCGCCATCTACTCTCACCAAGCTGATCCAAGCTTTAAAGATTCTGATGGCCTTTGCATAGCTGGTCGTTGCAACATGTGACCTTAGCCCCCTGAAACTTTTGGAAACAAACGGTTTCCATTCAACCTACAAAGGTTAGACCTCTTGCTCAGGGGGCAAGAGCAACCCAATTCGGCGCTTTGACCCAAAGCTTCATGTCGAGTGATATCTGGCCTCAGCAGCCCAGGCTGGAAAGCAGCACACGCGCACATTCGCTTCTCGGTTTTGGTCAACACGGGCCGGAGTAAAGCTTTTTGGTTTCTCTTTGAGCCGTTTGCCGTTCACGTTTTGGGACCCAGAGTTTGGATTTGTTCCCGCCAGCCGGCAACCAGTCCAACCTCTCGCACATCTGGGAAGAACAAAGCGGCTTTGATCCGCTTGTGAGTTCTGTTGTCCAACAGGTCGTCTTTATGCATAGGCCTTGAAATAATCATGCACATGGACTTGCTTTCTTGTTTGCAGGTTTTTTTTTAAATCCGGTTGCAAGGCTGCCAGCTCCCAAGTGAAACATGAACTCAAGTCCAGACGGCGATTCGGGCACCCGTTTGGGCTTTTGCGTGAAAACCAGGCAAAGGGTCCAGCGGGTGTCCCATTTCTGTAGGGCGTGAAAACCCGGTGAGTGACTATCATTTCGGTGAGGTTGCAGGCTTACGAGTTCTGCTTGCTCTCAGCCCGAATCCGATGGGCGTAAATTTGAAAGATCAGTGGTCGTTGTTGCTGAGTCTGTTGCTTAGTCTGCTTTTTTTCTGGGAAGGTCAGCTACTCCAGGTTTCCCTGGCACCAAAAAAAGGAGCTTAGATGCAAGGACTTCTTGCCAAGGGGCCTCCAACAAGTTGCGTCTAGGTCGGTGGCTTGCAAGTGGCCTTGGACGAACAGGATTGAACGAGGGAATGCCCAATCAGAGGAATGCCCCGAAACAGGGTTCCGTGAGTGCTCCACAGCAGCCAGCAAGGTGTTCAATTGTTGACTCTGAGGTTGTTTTTGCTTGCCTTTCTGGCTGGAACCTGACAAAGCCGCGTTTAAACGCGCCAAGAACACAATAGAACGAGATCGCAGAAATGTGTTTCATTCTGGTTCCATTTTGATTTTCACCTGCTCAGTGACTTGCGCTCATTGACTACCACTTGTCGGTGGTTTGTTTCTTCGGAGTTAAACGGAAAGCCATGCATGGTATCAGGTGACCCCCAATTGGTGGTGGGCTGGTTGCATGGGGAATTGACCCCCGAGTTCCACCCTCCAAACCGCGAATCCACAACCACAAATAGGAAGGTAGGCAGTGTTTCTCCCTGGCGCTATGGGAAATTGCGACAGGGCAAAGAGGCCACCTGGGCCAATTCTAGAAGTGCCTTAATTACCAATCCTTACCCAGTACTTCCAGCTACCACTGTAGTAGCTAGCCAGGTCTGTCTACCTCTAGGTTTTATATCATGGTTCCCCTGTTCAGTTTACCTACCATTCGAACAACTGGAAGCACTGGGCTTTAACTGCCCCTGGCTCAGCTGCATCAGGGCTAATTTGATTACCATGGATATATCCATGTTGTGAACCTATGCAGTTCTGCCGCCCAGGATGGCAGCAGGGGCCTGCGGAAGCGAAATGAACGAGCGAAGGCGTCGAAAAGAATGTGAATCACCACCTTTTGCGCTTGTAGGCAGGAGTTTCCGGTTGTTTGAAATGTGGAGGGGACCACTATGGTTACTACTGTTTGCTTCGTGGGATAAGGCTGCACTGTGCCCTCATTTGGTGCTCCAAGTCCCGCCGAAAGTGCGACGCATTGGTCCACGCCAGAGGGCGGAACAGGCATGCAAAGCTGAGCTTGCGATCAAGTTCCATGACCGTTTCGGGCATTTTTTGGATGAGTGAAGGTGGTTCGATTGACTTGTCGTCTTCCGCGAGCTTACCAAGCTGCTCCCTTGTATTTGTATGGGAAGCCCGCGCTTCAAGGTGTTGTTTCAGTTTTTAAATCAGCGGGCCTGACGGGAAGTGCGAAGTTGATTCATGATGCTGCTTGGTGGCTCCAGCCATCCCCTTACCCTTTTAGCTTTATTTTTTAGTGGTAGTTTCCATTTAACCCACTACAAGTTAAACGCAGGGGATTTGAGGGCAGCCACTGCTAGGGGATCGGAAAACGGGCAGCCCAGGTTAGCGTTTGAGTGGCAGGGGCCCCGAGGCAACCAGCCAATCGCGCGCCGAGGTTCCAGTGTGACCTCTCCTTGCGAGTCACGGCGCCGGCAGCTCAGGCGGCCTCAATACATGGGTCGAAAATCAACCATGGGGCCGCAGGTTGTCCATGCTTCCATTTTTCAGGATTCCCTTTTTGGTACCCATTTTTGACTCACAGCCACATATCACCTTCAAAAATGCAAATGCATTGAGATGGAGGAGACCCCCTCTTTCCCAGAGGACAGGCACATGGACAAAACTCCAGCATGGTGATGCCTTTTCAAGGGGATGGGGATGGAGTAGAAAGAGTTGAGGCTTTGGAAGTATACGACCCCCGCATACCTCACACGTTGCTTTCCCCGAGTTCAAGCACCCAGCTTTTTTCCCTTGAACATGGGGTCAGAACCCAGAGCGCTTCGGAGACATAATTCTGTTGCTTCCACAACCAGCTGGTCATATTTCATGAAGCATATGAGCGTTCGCCAACTAGGTTGCTGAGTAGTGCCCTTTTACCCCTTTTTGGGGAAGGGTTCCTCTGCAAAAATCGGATGCAGGAAAAACTGTACTCTTATTCTAACCTCTCTACTGGAGGACCTAGCCAAATTCAGTTTCATAAGTTGAGAATCGATTCGGGCTCGAAACGCGAAGCACACGAAGCACACGAAGCCCGTCGCCTGAGCGGAGGTCGCGAGCCACACGCGCCGATGGCACCGAGGTTGGGAGTGAGTTCCTTGAAGGTACAGGCCTCCGCGTCCATGTCTTGTCACAGGCAACCTCCTTCCGGAAAGCCACAAGGCTCAACAGAGATGAAAAGGGCTTGGCCGTTTAAAGGCTCTCATATTGGATGTTTCGCCTGGGCCATTTGTCTCTTTTCTCCTCCGCGAAAAGACGCGACCTATTGCAACACGAGTGGGGGCTTCTTTAGAGGCCGACCTGACGTCATGTGATGACTCTGCTTGTTGGAGTCCCGGATGTGCGAGGAGGCTTCTTTTGGGGATTAGCTACCCCCTGTTGGAAATCGGTCAGTACGCACTGTAGTAAAGTGGTGACATGGGGTACGCTCACCAAATTGCCGGTAGGAAATGGAGGTTAGTCAGCAGACTCCCATGTTCTTTCAAGTAGACTCCGTTCTGTGGCCAAGCCACGGGCAGCGTTCATCATGTCCCCTACCAGTGTTCAATCTGGGGAGTCCGTTGAGTTGTTTAGTTGATGACGATGATCTGCATCCGGCATATTGACCATTTCTCACATGTTGTGCTGTTAAGCTTGTTTCTACCAAGCGTTTGATTTGATTATTGGGCCAGTTCTTCCATCAATTTTGGCGTGCCGGAAGCTGTGTCAGTCAAGGGAAAAAGGAGGGCGGGAGGGGTAGGGGCAAATAATAGCCCCAGACGTCCAGGTGGCGCGCGTGTCAGCGCGAGGGGAGCTTGAGGTGCGACCGTGGCCGCTGCACCTGGCTCCGGGAAGGGGGGGGTCGGGCCATGGCCCTTTACCAACTTTCTTTTGGGGGAGGGTTCCCCCATTCAAATAAACTAGAGAGCAAAGGGCACCCATCTTCTATCCTCGCTACTGGAGGACCTAGTCTGATTGAAAGGATCTTGTTGAATCTCAAGGCTAAGGAGTCCTGCTTGCCTTAACCCACGCTCGGGGTTGCGGCTTTCTGGAGGTGCTCCACTCGAAGGTTCTGGATTCGGATTGGAGGCGAATTCGTCAAATTCCCAAATGTTTCCTGCAATGAGAGCCCATGGTTGCTTAACTCCATGACTGCTAGATGAGGGGCAGGGTACCTCGATTTTGAGGAAGGAAAACACCCCTCATAGTGATGAACCTTAGGGACAGCAGTAGAATCTGATTGGGAAAAAAGTTTGCTCTGACATCATTGAGGCTTTGCAGGTTGGGGAAAGAATAGAATGTGGCTAAGTAGACCTTGTTTGGCTGGGTGTTTGTTTTTCCTTCTTTTTTTGCTAGGGGCGGAGGGTGGAGCAAATACGCTTCTGTGGCCAGCCTCCATTTACCACTTGCACTTTTTTGCGCGACGGGAATGCCAAGCCCTGGGCCTTCTTTCCCTCTGGATTTTGGGTGTTTCCCTTGGGGGGGTATGGCTTGGTCTATGTAGCGCGTAGTGATCGCTGGTCTTGGCTAGCTTTGAGAAGATGCTTCTTGGGGGTCTACCTCGAAAATCTAAGCCCACTAGGACTGGACACACACACACACGCACGCACACACTTTGCAGTCTTTTGTGGCCGAAATAGCCAGACAACCCATGGGTGTTGGGTGCCAAAATAGCCCCTCAGGAAAGTAATGGTGGCTGGTTGTTTTCCAGATTGGCACCCAGGGCTCACATGGACCCTTCGACAACCCCATGTTGAAAGCAGACCCTTGCTATTTGGCATGGGAACTGCTTGATGGCATGTGTTTGGACTGAGGGATTTCCCTTCCGATGATTGGGGCATGTCACTGCGCGGCGAACAGCTGAGTTGCACAAAGTGGCCATTTCACATGTGTTGGTCCTGTTGCCTTTTTGATCACAGCGTTTATATAAAAGCCGAATTGTAGTTGAGAGGAAGTGGTAGTTTGGATCGTGATGGGAAGTTTTGAACCAGGATCTGAGGCCCGGGGTACTTCACGGTTTGGGCAAATGAGGCCGGTGCGCTGAAGCACACAAAGGAGAGGTTGACTCGAGCCTAAAGCGGCCTTCCTCCCTAATTCCTCAGATGCTTGCACTAGTTTGCTTGACACCTGCTCCTTCCGTGTGAGCCAGGCAACCTTCCTTTTGTCGAAAGTTTTAGTGTGATTTTCATATTCCATCAAAGGCGGAAGTGCTGGTGGCCCCATTTCCAACAGGAAAGTGGTCTTTCAATTCCAGACGTTTCTGGTCATGGGTATGAGTCAAACATAGCCGTACCCCCAAACATGTTGGTATTCCGTTGGCTTCTTTTGATGAAAGCCACTGTAAAGGGGGCACCCTCAAAAAAACACAGACCCATATCCTGGCGTGTTCTTAACACTGGACCCGTTTGAGTGCCAGTTTGGACCGTTGCTCGGTCGGTTGGTTAGTTTGGCTGGGATAGGGTGGTTGGATGCTCGCCCACTTGTTGGCCACGGCTCGACGCATCGAACTTGGATCACGTGCCAAGAAAGGCTCAACTCAGATGTGCAACCAAGTGGTCAGTGATTTGATCAGTCACGCTTGGACATTCCGAAGCTGAACTTGGCTTCTGCCATGTCCAATTTGGATATGCGCCCTTTGAAGGGGCCATTTTGCTTTCCTTGAGCCTGTGGGATCTGATCGCCAAGGTTCCACGCCACTGCCAAAGCCGCAGTGGTGGACTTTTACCATGCAGCGAAGGCCTGGGCCCAGTTTGTCCCTGACTCCCTGGAGTCAAAGGCAAGCCCTACTTGGAGGTCCATCCCAATATGCAAGCAGCTAGTTTCTCGTCATTTGCCCAACTGGGGTTGGACAGCGTGTTTGCAGGTGTGCCATGTGGGATGGCCTAAGGCAAACTAAGTTGCACGAATGGTATTGCCACTTTCAAGTGGAGAAGAAAAGGAATTGCCGGCAGGGACAGCCCTTCGCAAAACTGACGGAGGCGCCACGTTGAAGGCAGCAGCATCACCCCATTCGGGAAAGTCTTGGCCATCGGAGTCAGACGATCTTTTTCGCATGTTTCCTTTCGGCCATTCTTCTGACTCTATGGCTTCCGCATATGGCCGATATGCAAGCGTCTGATTGTTTCTAGGTCTTGTGAAGAGTTGGCTTACATTGAAAGAGTGACAGGGCGCGTTCCGAATTTGGCACAGCCCAGTTTGTCCCTTCTTTGGCTGCTTGGGGCCAATTTGTCCCAGCAATGAGGCCAACAGCCCGTTCCTGTTCAGAGTGTCTCCAAATTAGAAAAGCAGCTGAAGAGCCTGTCAGCCACAACCCTTCTCCAAACAATTCTGGCTTACATCGCTGGCGCAGGGGGGAAAAACTGGTCGGATCTTGATTGCGCTTTTCTTTTCTGTGCCATCTCCTGTTTTTGTTTACCTCCGGGGTGTCGTTTTTCCCCTGCCTGTTTGTTGGTTGGTGTCTGGTCGGTGCCGTTCGCTCGAGGCCTGGTATCTGCAAGGCAAGGACCATGAAGCGCTTGCGGCCTGCCGCGACCCCACTTCTGCCGGGTGGCCTCCCCACTAGAAATGGCCTACACAAAAACAAAAAAAACTTTTTCTGCCGAAATCGCTGGGAAGATGCGGAGTCGCAGGACTTCAAATCTGATTGTTTTGCTGTTTTGGCGGAGGGAGCCCTGTAGGAGAGAAGGATTGGCACTCCGCGATCCCAAATGGTCGGATTGGGCGCAGTTTTTGGCGTAATTGGTAACACCTACCGGAACCCATGGACAACTCCAAACCATCCAGGGACAAGGTCCAATAATAATGATGCCCCTATACATTCGGCAACAATCGATTTAGCTCACGTCTCCGTTTGGCAAACATCAGCGTCCTTCCAATTTTTGGACGCCCCTTGCTCAATCTGTGCATGTGGGCAAGTTCCATTTGGGCTACATAGCACTCCTGCTTGGGTGGTTTGGGGATTCCCGTGGGTTTCTCTGAGGTGTCAGCCAACTCTAAGCCAGCAGGGAAGCGCGGATCAAAAAAAGAGAAGGGGTCATTTCAGCTGTTTTTTAAGGGGCAGATGTTCTGAGCGACCTCCTGGAAGCTTCTTTCTGCTTAGCCATGGCAACCCAGGTACTTGAGAAGTTGAGGTCCTTTTGAGTTGCAGGCCATTCTGGAGCCACTTTGAAGCTTCACCTTTTGTATTGCTCAGTGGAGCTGTTTTTGTTAATCTTTCTGCAGGCTGGTCAACCCAGAAAAGCGCTGAATGGCCCCTTTCTCTACCAGAATCGTTGGGCAACAGGAGGGCCTGTCCTCTCTAGTCTTACCAGTTGAGTTCGCAAATCCAAAACTATAGTTGTCCGTTTTGTGGCCATGGGGACATAACTCAAGGCTCCATTTTGGGGTGGGTGAACATCCATTTGCCACCTATTTTGATGTTCACCAGGGGTACAGGGCTTTGACCCACAGCCATGTTTCTTCTTTTCTCGTGGCAAGGCCCACAGGTTCCCAATCAGTCGCGGCACCTGGCCAACTTGCCCCGAGGTGAGAAGGCGGTGAAGCTTGCGGACGCGCTGGCTAGCCCAGTTTGGTCAACGTATCCAACTGGTAGCCTATGGGCCCCTAAAGTGGTTGCATGTTGAGGGGGTTCTCAGATTTTGTTCGGGGGGTGGTTTTCCTTTGCACCACCATCAGTTTTCTGAGAATGTCACTTTCTTGGAGCCAGTATGTCCACTTTGGAAAAATCCTCTTGCTAACAGCTGGAATGCGTCTTCCAAGGGGGTGGGTTTGAAACACGGAATGGTTATCTCTGGTTCCTTGGAACCCTGAAGGTTCACTTGCAAAAAGGGACACCGAACCCCCTTTCCAGCGTTTGTTGTGCTCTTGGGTTCAGTTCCTGCACCTCCAGTGCCTGCTTTCTGCCGAGATCAACCCCCCCAAATCGTCTCTAAAAGGTATGGGTTCAGCAAAACCAGGAAGTATCCCCAACCCCTGGTATTTTTGGTGGGTGGTTGGTGGACGTTATCCCCCAACCCCGTTACTTTTGGTGGGTCTGTGGCGCGAGTTTTGCCACGGAACCCTGCGCGGAGGCAAAGTCCGCGGCCCCGCGAGATGGCGGATGCACTCCACCTTCTGGGGGCCGGGAGTGGGGAAAAGCTGCTCGGGGCTTCAGAATTTCACAAGGAAAGGCCATCCGTTTGGTTGAAAGACTTCCATTTGCTTAAGAAGGTTTTTGGACTCCTCGGGGGCTTAAGCAAATGGAAGAAAATGGTCTGCATTCCACTGGTTGCAGTTTTGCTTGGCCCGTTGTGCCATCAATGTGTCCAAGAGGAAATGTAGATTGACCCTTTCTTGGGTGCCTCCCCTTTTCTTCAGGGGCGGCGCATGCCACCAGGGTCTCAAACCAATGGATTGAAGTTGTGCATACCGGCGGTTTGTCTCAACACCTGCTGGGCGTTGATAAGTCACATGACGATCATGACAATGATGTGATGACGAGGGTGCGGGGCGAAGAGGGAGGGCGATGCCGAAGATGAGAATGAGGATGGTGATGATGATGACGATGATGATGACGATGCTCACCGCCGCCACAGGCACCACCACCATCGCCGCCACCACCATCTTCATGATGCTTTGTGATGCTTTGAAGGAGCACTGCAGACTTCCGACGTTCCGGCGGGCACGAACTCAAGGGCAGATTTTGCATTTGGATATGCTCGATGTGGACGCTCCACCTGCAGGTCATTCCTTCCAACACCAGTGTTTGGTTTCTCATTTTTACGCAAACACCTGCATTCACTCTTGGTGGACAGATTTCCCGCATGATGCCCGCCAAACGATAGCAAACAGAATCACACCCAAATGGCAATTCACCGAACACTGCGTCTGTGCCTGGCCCACAGGGATTATAACCACCACGAGGGGGGCGGTTGTCGCTGCGACCAGCCGATGTGGGACTTTGATTGCGACGGACATGTCCAACTTCCAAATGGAAGCGCAAACACAGAGCCACGGCGGACATGTGTATTGATACATGCCCTGTTGCATACCCTATGCAGCAAGACCAGCTGGCTCGCCCATTCTTGCGTTCCATACCTTACGTAAACAAAACCGCCTGGCTGGCTTAAGAAGAAAAGTTGGAACAAGCAGCAGGAAGAGGCCGGAAGAATGCTTTGCGCAATGCCTCCTTTCACAACTCCCTACTCCAAATACCCGCCTATGTAACAAGGATCCCCCATTACATTTCTCCGGGTACCTGCGGAACAAGATTCGCAAGATTCCCGCCGCGTCGCGCGTGGATTGCACTCAAACATGTCATACCCAAATCCGACCCAGCGCCTTCTTGCAAGCGAGGGCGTTGGCAAAAAGAAGCGGCAGTTGCCAGGCCTTCAGCCGGCCCAAGGGTGGAACACGGAAACCAGGATAACCTCCCCAGAGCGCTTTGAATTCGGATGTTGCGCTCGCCAGGCCATCCACTTGCGTGGCAAGCAGCCTGCTCTGGCGGTGAAATGCCTGGGCCCCGCACAGCTCGGAGTTGTGTGAGACCGGTCAGAGCTGGCTTCTTTGTGGCTGGTATGTGCGCTCTATTCCGGTGGCTTAGGGCATCTTTTGGCGTAGGCATCCACTGTGGTCCTGGGAAGTCGCAGCTGCCTGCCCGAGGCCTGGAGCGAGCGCTGGGTGTCAAGCAGATGCTGGAGCCGGAATCGCTGGAGGCAAGTAGCATCCGCATCGCAGCGCTTGCCTGGAAATCCCTGACTTGCATCCTTAAAAGGACCCCAACACACCCGCAAGCCAACCAACCAGCCAACCAACCCAAACCGACCCAACTGACTACGATCTTTAAAGAACCACTGTTTCGCTGCGTTCGTGAGATCAGAACCTTCCACAGGTGGTTACCCTCCCCCTAATGGAGGGACGCCAAAAGTGCTGATCAGGCCAGACACCTTGGAATATAACTGGCATTTGAGGTGAAAGTCAGCTGCCCAAACCCAGACCCCCGATTTCAGCCACCAAGTCGCAACGGCTTGCTGGAGCGTGCAGGCGAACCCTTCGAGCTGGCAGTTGGGCAGTTACTTGGCTCTCGGCAGCGACTTGGTGGAACCAGGTCGGATCGTTGGGCGATTCGCCCAAAAGCCACGCTACTGGGAGAGCTTAAAACATAGGCAGGACTTTACCGTGGTCTGCCAAAAGTGGTTGTGCTACCAGCAAGGAGCCAACGAGAAGTAATCCATCCATGGATGACATCATTGCGATAGCTTGAGTGGTCTCAATGGTTTGAAAAGGCATGCTACGGCCAGCAAATCCGCGCCAGCTGGACATGGCATCAACTGTCACTCTTGGTTCGCCGCGCCCTGGATCAACCCGGAAACTAGTTCCTATCACCCTGTGCCAGTGATGTTTGTATGTCTCTGGGGGCATTCTAACAACGCATGCCATACACCGTATGATGAAATGTTGAGAGACGACGTGTCAGTGCTCGCCTGGCTGTTGAGGCAGCCCGTAGCATGTCTCGCAGTCCAAACACCACAAACGCGTTTCTTCTGGCCAAAAAAAACATCAAGACCAGTCATTATCAGTCATTGTTTTCCACTTCTCTCAACGAGACGAGCGACGCTCTAAAACCTCGGCACTTGCAAGTGGCATTCGAGACGAAATGTGGTTCTCAAAGTCTTGCTTTGTCGTAGGTGGCTGAAGGGTTCGCGAAGGGGGTTTTAGCATCTACGTAGTCGCGAAGGGATCGGGAAAAGAAGCTGTTTGCGCACGTACACCATATATATATATATATGTGTGTGTGTTTATGATTTAAAATATGTTTCTCAATCTGCGAAGCCGATTGTCGCATCAAAACCTCTCATGAAAGGAGCCTCTCATGCGACAGCTTCGCGAAAGCCATCGCGAAAGGGATTTGAAATTTCTGTTCGGCCGCCACGGGGTTTAGAACGCCTGGATGGCGATTTTCTTAGCACGTCCTTCGCAAAATCCAGTTGTTCTATATCATGTTCGTAATGTTTGTCACATAGGAGGGTTGTTCTGGATTGTGAACGATGCGAAAGCACAGCTTTCCAGTTGCGCAACTTTGGCCTCCACTTGTGACAAGTCTGAGTTATGGCAACCCAAAAGCTGGTCACCCTTCAAGCCAAACCGCGTTGGCCAAAGCAGAATTGGGCTGAATGTCCTGGGTTTTGAACTTTCGTCTCCATGGCAGCCATGGCCTTCCGACCGAGGCGCGCACTTGCAGGCGGGCGCGCCAAAGGCTGCAGCGGAGAGCCCGCGGCCCCAGGCCCCCTGCAGGTGCTCCGAAGGGAATGAGGGAATGAGCTTGGGGATTCCCTGAAAGGAAACCACAAACAACGGTTTATAAAGGTCATTCCCTCCTTCCCTTCTGCGCACCAGCACAACAAGCTCATGAAGGTCCTTCTAGGGGATCGATGCCTTTCCAGTTTGTGAGTCGTGACTTGCTGAGATTCCTTGGCTGCGCAAAAAGGCGTGCCCCTTTTGCAGCGTGCCTTTTTAGCTGCATGGGATGTCCCTATTTTGTGACAAAGCTATTTGGTATTTAGTTGGACCTTGAAGATCCTTCTGGTCTTCAGTGGTCATCCAGGCGTCCTTTGACATCTTCAAAAAATACACTTCTCGACTTTGAGGCCCATCCCAAAGGGGGGACTAACAAGAACCTCGCAACATGCCACATGGCAGTTTTAGGATGTTTTAGGACATACTCGGCTGCAAATCAACTTTGTAGCCAAAAGGTCCCGTTCGCCAAGGATTCTCCAATCGGGCTTCATGTTAATTTACAGTCACCGGTTGGGATGTATCGGGAACAACTCCCTACTGCAGGCCTCCATTTTACTGAATTGGGCATGTGTTAGTCTCCGCTGTGCTTAGGGGACGGTGCCATAGACCACACATGCCAGTGGCGCGAGATGGATGCAAGCCCAAGGTCTCAAAGGAGAAATGAGCTTGGGAGCTGTAGAGGGAAATGGTTTGACACCCTACTACCCCCAATGATGCCAAAACAAAACCAAAATCAACAAGTGACGTGCAGTCAGCTCTAAAGAACTAAGTTTCCAGAATGGGCTCAAAAGGTGAATGGGGCGAAATTGGTTTGTGAGCTGTTTCGCCACTTCCTGGACATGCATAAGGATTTGAATCAAAGGTTTAGTCTAAATGGTTTGGTTGGCGAATAGGGCGGTTGAATTTCCGAAAGAATCCCAAAGCTTTGGGATGGATAAGTTTGATCCTGTGGACCAAATCCTGCACCACTTTGAAACCATGGGAATCCATTGTTTGTTGGCATTTGCCGCGCAATCATCATAAGGTTTCTTAGGTGGTGCGAAATGGATTCGTCCATCCAGATCCCGGGTTCTGCGTAAACCGCTCGGGACGCGGCCGAACACCAAACTGAGTACCCACAAGGCCTGGAGCTGGTGGTGAAGACGCTGCAAGAGCGCCCTGGCACGAAGAAGCAATGAGGAGAAGGTGCACACAGAAGGGCGCGCCCTCTATTTCCAACTTTGTGTGGTTTTGAACACCTTTGGCACCCCTATAAGGTGAGTCTCCTTTGGTAGATGCGGATGAACGCAACGCACCTTGTGCCTGTTGGGAAGGACGAAGCCCAATTCTAAACAACAAACCAGCTGGTGCGAAATGGATTTGTTCCATCCACTGTACTTCAACTGGAGTCGAAGGGGGTAGTTTTCAAGCAGCAGGTGACCACCTTGCCCCTAGTTGGTGCATTGGCAATTGCAGCGCGTTCGGCAAGCTGAGGCGTAAGGGCGACAGCAGCATACTGGCTCGCAACTTAGGCTCGGCCGAGGCTTCGAGAAAATGGGGCCTGTCGGCGTTGCGAGGTTCTCCAAGTTGTGTGGGGTTCCCTTCCATCCACAACTGGTCCCCCTGTAGTTCCCTACTAAAATAGACGACAGACAACAGGGTACCCTTATTCGAACCTCTCTACTGGAGGACTTAGACAATTCAGAGTGTCATTTTGAGGATGCCGTTTCAATAGACCCATGAGGAAGCCAGCATCCCGTGCTCCAACTTCCTCTAAAGCTACCTTCTGGTGGGCTCCATGTTGGGGAGAGCAATTTTTCGGTCTACCTGTACCGGCCCCTTACTCCAAATCCGAGCCTTCCGTTTGGCTTCCCAGCCCGAAGAGGGGTTCTGCCGAGGCAAGTGCCCAGCACAGCCTCGGCAGCGCATACCGCGCTGGGGGCCTTGGGAGTTGGGTCATGGAAACTTCGCGGCAACAGCTGAGGCTCTTTTTTTTCCCCAGTAGTGCCCTTTTACTAACTTTTGTGGGGGAGGGTTCCGCTACTAGAATAGTCTACTAAAAAGGTACCCCTATTCTAACCTCTCTACTGAAGGATCTACTCAGGCTCCTGATGGAGTCTGGACGCGCCATTGCCAGGAGTTGACAGGGTTTTATACAACCTCTTGCTCAAGCAGAAGCGACCTTGAACGTCGTGGAGGGTCTGTCCCTGCGCTCCCCTATTCCAGCTTCACGAGTGGAAAAAAGGCTGAGGAGTTGCAAAGCCTTGATAAGTGGATATGCGAAAACAGGGCTAGTCAGTGGCAGAAGCCCATTTGCCGGAATGCGTTGTTCAGCCGAACGAACGGTGTATATTTTTGCATCCTTCCTGCAACTTGAAGGGTTTAGGGGTACCCGGACTTCCCCAGGCCCAAACTTGCTTGATGACCTTCCCACTTGTGTTATGATTTTCTGCGACGTTCGGAGGCTCACAGCTGGAAATTAAACGACCCCTGTCTCAACTTTCATACAGCATCACACGGCTTTTGGTTCTGGAGGACCAAATATCACAAGCCGCACCAAGGGGATCCTTTTGAGGGTTCTGAGCATGCGTCCCGTGAGCTGACCAGTGCAAACCTGTTCGATAGGCTTGCAATAAGCTCGCAGGGGTTCCTTCAACGGTTCGAGCCAGGTTGTGAAGCAAAGGACGTTTCTCATGGAGTTCAAACATGCAAGCTAAGATTGTCCAAATGTTCAGTGCCAGAACCCTCGAGCAATTGAAAGTAGCTGTAGCTTCAGGCAGGCGCTAATTGTTGCAGACTTCATGTTCTCATCCCCAGCCTTTCAAAGCCCTGCCGAAAGCCTCCAGTTTCCGCGGCGCAGAGCCTTGCAAGCGCAAGCCACGAACCGCTGCAAGCCCTTCTCCCCGCATGAAACCTTTGGGAGCAAATTGCCTGCCTGACTGTGCTATGCCACACTTTTCTTTGGGTCCTGTGCATTCCATCTTTCCACACGATTCAACTTCCGGAAAAGAAGCGCTCGCTTCACGGACTGTGAGGCCTTGGGACAACACGACCAGTCAATGCGCGGGAGCCATGAATGGGTCCATCGGCTCTGGCGGCATTCCACGCCCTGTTTGGCTGTGGCGAATTTGAGTATGATTTCATTTTGAGGGTTAAAGGAAAGCCAAGAAGGAACACCGAAGCCATACTTTCCATGCTCAACGCTCAGCAGCGTGTCCCTTAGGGCTATGCTGGGAAGTCGAGGTTGCCTTATGCGTGACCTACTGGTCTAGAGCCTAGCCAGTGAAAGTGACAGTCATTTGCACCCCGGTGGGCAACACTGGGAGTCTTCACCAACTCTGGCTGGACACACCGGGAAAATGGAAGACCCCTTTTAAAGGACCTTCCTCACAAGCTCTAAACAAGCTCGTGAAGAAGTGGCACAAATATGGCCATGGGTCAAAAACCCGTACCCCCAGTGAACATCCCAATCCCCACTAACATTGGCTAAAATGCGTGGTGCAGCCAGCCCAAAATGGTACCATTGGTTTTGACCCACAGCCATAAGTTGCAACCTGGAAATTTGAAGCGCTCTGCGATCAGCTCTTTTGGACGTTCCGCTCTTCGGCTGACCTAATGCCGTGGCGAAGGGTCAACCCTGAACAGTCGGCCTAGGCTCTGATGGTCGGGATTTGTAGCGATTTGTCCTAATTTGTGATGCAGCTTTCTTTCTGAGCTGCCCTCCCTCCCCGTTCGCCCAAATATTTGGTGTCGCCATTCCTTCTTTGCCACCCAGGTCGTAGTTCCGTCCTTTTTGGACGCCTGGTGTGCCTTTACGCGCGTGCGAGAGTGTGTACAAGTAAATCCGAAGGCAATCCCGAAGTGCTCACGTGCAACACCTGGATCATTTGCCAGCATCCCGAAACTCCAGCTAGGCAGTGCTATCAGCTCTGCCTGGAACTTCGGGAGTCACAAGGCGGGTACGCTGAGTACGCCCAGTTGGTTGCCCGAGTTGTGCGATCCGAAGCCATCAAATGCATGGTTGCCAGGTACCGTTTTGCGATGCCCTAAAAGACCTACACAGGTGCCAGCTGCTAGCGTTAATGTTTCCAGGTGCCGTGGCTGCCAGGGCTTTACAAACCAATTTTGGTTTTGCATGGTTCTGTTTACAGGCCTGAACGTGCACAATCTGGAGCGGGCAGAAGCTGTTGGGTTGCCATGCTTGGTGACTTACTGTGGGTTTAAGTTCACAGGGCCTAAACCAGTTTTGTTGGGTTTGATTCCAGTGTGATTGCAAAAGATCGGCTTGGATCTGCTATTTGTCAATCTACGCCTGAAAGGAAAGGGTAGCAATTGTTCAAACACGGCAGATGGACTCAGAAGGTGAGCCGGCTTCTAGACAGAGTATTTGCATAGTAACACAGCTTCTGGCATTGTGTACTTCTGCGTCTCGACCCTGTACTGTAGTGTGTGCTGCTTAGCTTGGCAAAAGGTTCCTGTCGACGTTGCTGAGCTTGAAGGTTGGTGCTATCACTTTGCTGTCGCTGGAGGTTCTTGACGTTGGCCAAATGTGCTTTGGGCTGCTACCAGGAGTGGGTTTTCCCGAAATACCACAAACATTGGGGCACAACAGGGTCTGTTGTTTTCAGGCCAGCAACAATGATGGCTTCGTCGCAGGGCGAATCGTGGAGGTTGAGCGCACAAAAGCGCGAACGCAGGAGACGGTCCTCAGCTGGTGAGTGTTTTGAACAACCTGGGCGCGCAGGCAGGGGGGGCCTTTAGATTGTCCCAGTTTCAGGTGTCATCCATCGTTCCCTTTTTCCCACCGTTGGCAAACCAACTCTCCACAGGAGGGTCCCGGGAGAATTGGAAAGGGAGAGGCGCAAGATGCTTGCAGGTCAGGAGCTGCGCGTGACCACCGTGCCTGGCTGTTAAGGCTGTTTCTCGAAATGGTGGATCCCTTCGGGATGGCTTTGAAGGAAACCAAAAGGCGACCCAAATTCAGTTGCACCCTTGGTCCTGTTTGGTGGTGAGAACCCGTAGTCCATTTCGCAGTTTCTGCGAGAGGTATCCCAGGTTGGCACATGGTAGTACCTTGGATGGTCAAGGTTTTCTGTTCAATATTTTCCAGCACGCAGCGGTCAGTCTCAGGGAACCGCCCAGCCGCAAATCCATCACGACCATCCCGACCCCAAGCACCATCAAGCACGCATAGGTGTCGTTTTTAGTTTGGTTAGAAATGGGTTCAAGCCACCGGTTTAGATGGGCTTGACGCTTGATGCCATCCATTTTCCAGGGACACCCGTCGCTTTGTCCAACACCCGGCGCCCATGTTTCGTTCCTCTCGCTCCGCGAGCTTGCGAGGCCCAGCAGCTTTCGAGGTTCCAGGAGGACGGCTTCAAAAAAAAACGGGGGGAGCTGAGGGGCCGTTTGCCTTCGGGTTCCCTTTGCCCCATACTCCACCTACCCTCTGTTTTTAGGGTGTTTTGTAATGACACCTGGTTTTGCGGTGCAACTACCTCCCCTTTCCAGATAGACCAAGGGGCCATAGCACTCAAAGCCCAATCCTTTGGGTGACTGGCTTCGAAAGTGAAACCAACAAAAGATCAAGTGCTCAGAGAATATATATATATATATATGAATGAGGTTTGCCGCTAATGCAACGGGCGCCAGCATTCTTTTCACTAGTGGGTAGTTTCTTTTTGGTAGGCAGGTTCTGTCAATGGTAAAAAGTGTATGATCAGTGCATTTGTTAAATTAATTGGTGGTCCTGTTGGGGATTGGTTGTAAAGGGAAGCTCACTGAACATGTTGCCATTGGAATTTCGTACAGGCTCATTCCTGATTCATTTAAGCCCACCCCCCACTCCTGCTCAAATCATCATGAGCGTAGATCAGATCACCCTTAGGAGCTGTGCAGTTTGCTTGACACTTTGCATGTTCTCGCTTGTCAATGCCAAGTAGGCACATCTTCCAGGCCGCTGGAAGACCATTTCCTCCACCTTTGGATCTTCCGGCTTCCGGTGTTCCATGCGACTGGTCAAAAGACCGCGTTTCAGGAGGCCTCTTTGGTTCCCCCAATCAACTTATTCCCCTTTTTCGGGTGTCAGATCTTTGGTGCATTTTGCTTGGATGTTAGGACTTTAACTTTTCGCCAACTAATGGGTTTCCGAATTAAACCACTAGAAGTTATTCACTTGTAGCCGGGGAGCAGAAAGAAACCGAGACAGATGTCGACAGGCAGCGGCCTTCTATCGCCGCGCTTTGGAGCTCGAGCGGAAGCATTTGGGCGTTGAGCCGGGAGCCCCGAGAACTCGTCTCGTCCGTAAGGACTCACCATGGGAGGGCAACCCAGGAGCCATTTGAGTCATGTTGACCCCATATTAATATGAGGAAACCCCAGTTTGTTCATGGGGCGGTGTTTTCGGGTTGAGTGGGGAATCATCACTTTTGGAGAAGCTCTTGAGAGGGCCCCCAAATGGGGGGAGTCCCTTTCGATGGCCCTTGCGCAAACACAAGTTAACAAGGGTCCCTTTAAAGAAGACAGAGTTCTCATGGTGGTGGTTGCAACTGGAAGTGAGTTTCCTTTTTTGTGGGGGGGGGTTTACATAAAGCGGACATACAGGGAATCCTGACAAGTCCACGAACAATCTATGCGAAGCAGGTCTAAGCCTGACTTTACCACCCCGGGCAACCACTGGGCGTCGGCCTTATGCCAGGGAACCTTGGCATACATGCATGACCGTGCGCCTGAATGCACATGTATGTGTAAGATACATGTACATGTGAGTCACGTGACATCCGCACATGAAAGGGTGATTTGAGTGAAGACACGTAGTTCATGGCTTCCACGCATCAGATTCAGTGCTCGGCCCCGAGACGGGCTGGGTGAGTCTGAAACTTAAAGACCAGGAGTGGATACGAAGAGCCCGACGCAGAACTTTGATCCTGTACTCACTTGTTTGCCGTGCCATGGCTCAGTTAGTTTAGCCTAGTATTTAGCCCCTAGATTATCAAGCGGTATGACTCGACCTTATTTGTTTTACAGCATTGCCTCTGCAGGCCGGTTATTGGTCAGGGGTCGCCATGGGAAGGGTTTGGCCTGCGGCGCGGCTGTTGGCTTATCAATATGGGGCTGCCGTGGCTGGGCCCTGAGCCGGCACTGAGTCACTAGATGAATCCTGCTTCATGATGCGACACCCTTACGTTGAGCATGCCTTGTGTAGCCTCTGCATTGTTTGGCTTTTGCACTATGAAACGCTCAAGCCATGATAACCATGGATGATTGCTTCTTCTTGAGCTTCAATTGCTCAATCTTTTGGGTCATGACTGTTTCCCCACTTGCAAGCATGTAGCTTCCTACATGGGGTCCAAGTCCAAGCTAATTTTTCGACAGCAGGCTTGGCCAAACTTTCCTGAAACAAGTTGAAGAAACTCCCTCTTTGAAAGTTGCTCTTTGTGCTTCCCCTTGCAGATGCCAGGGCCTAGCTTCAACCAAGTTCGCCACTCCAAAGCTTTCGCCGCGTGTCGCAGCGAGGCACCCTGCCAGCGCCGCCACCCTGGGGAATCTGGGCATTGTCCTGGGCCAGCGCGGGCTCCAAAACTGCCCTGGTACACCAAGAAAGGACCAGTTCTGCAAAGCTACTCAGTTGTTCAGTGGCACCCTTTTTCCCCCACTAAAAATGGTCTTCCCCAAACAGGGTTCCCTTTTTCTCCAGGGTCACTGAACAACTGAGGCTTTCTTCCTGAGGTCACATGGACTTGATGACACTTGTTGGGAAAACAAACAGTTGGGACTTGCTTTGGCCAATCCACGCAGGAAGAGAGAAAGCACCCTGGCATTTTCTTCACAATTTGGCGGCATATTTGAGGGACTAAGGTTTTGCGTCACAATACCTTGGCCCCAGTGTCTCCTGCTACTTGCTGGGGGCTGGATGCGTCAGTGGTTAGAGAACTTGGCGAGCAAGAGTTACAAAATTGGGCACGCCCACAGACTACTCAAATGAATCCCTGTCATTGTTTGGATGCCAATTTTGGACGGGGTGATAATTTACTGGAAGTCTCGATTTGTTGAACGGTCCATGTTTGAGGCCCGCACTTTCAGAAGTCAAGAGCATGATGTTGGAACAGGGAAACCACAACAACGTCGGGTGTTTACTTTTCGAGCATCTTGCATCCTTCGCGGGGTGCATCCTTCGATCAGATCGCTTCCAAGATGAGTGGCTGATGCCTTGACAGCTTTTCCAGTGCCCTTTAAACCTGCCGGATGCCCAGAGTCCACTGCTGTTGTTTCCAGTCAAGGTGCCATTTAGCCGAGAGATTTGAATTGATGCGATTGAGTCAAAGCAAAGGTGGCCCCACCAGCTTGCATCAGCTTTGCTTTGAAGCCGGACCTTTGGGCCCGACAGTCAGTCCCACCATCACGTCTCCACCGGTTGGCCCCCCAAATTCTCAGATACCCAGGGTTTCATGAGAAAAAAAGAAGAAGAAAAAAAGGCAGAGAGCTACCCCATTTCCCCCGGAGAGGGTAAAAGCAAACGAATCCGATAGGCTCAAAGACCACCAGGGCGCCGTGCGGTGTTTGGAGGAGGCGCTTCAGGCGGGGGCGCGCCGATTAGGGAGACAGCCAGCCAAAAAGGCTGCTGGAACGAGACCAACTTGCTTGCGGACAGGAAGAAAAGCCTGCTGGAGAAGCCAGCCATGGGAAAAGTCTAAAGAATACGCTTTTGCTTTGAAGCCATCCCTGGCGAGCCTCCCAAAAAGCATCTGGGAGGTTCAAGAGAAGGAGCTAGGCAGCCATCCCAGCGTCGCTTGCACACTGCCCGGGCGCCTGGTGAAGAGAGGGAGAGAGAGAGAGAGAGAGAGAGAGAGAGAGGGAGAGAGTTGACGATGCTTGAACAAAGGCAACATCACCTACATGTAGGTGGAAGCAATCTCGCTTGCTTGTCCAAAGCCAAAGCTATTGTTTTGAGGGCACGTGATGTATTGCAAACAAGCACCCTCTTGGTCAAGCAGCCCGATTAGGTCCTATAAGTGCCCAAGAAGTAGATTCGGGTGTGGGATACTCTGAAACAAAGCAACGCCGTGAGCATAGAACACTGCTCTGCTAGTTGTCGGTTCCTTATTTTACCCACAAAGGCGCACCTATCGAGCCCAAAGCGATGAGCTTTTCTTTTGGCACTGGTTAAAGCTTTCGGTGTGAACTCCCTAGGCACAACCTGGGCAACGCCTTTGCCGCCAGTGGCCAGGGGACAGCC